ATTTACCAGGAGGAAAACCAGTATCTGATGAATATGGAAGACCTCCTGGTTTTGGTGTTGGACCAGAAGCAGCTTCCCTTACAAAAACCTTAGATACTACTTAAGCACAGAACTGGGAAAAAAGATCACAGATAACAGAGTCTGTGGATCATATAGCCATGGATGTTTTTGTTTACAAAATTTTTTGGCTGATTCAAATAGTTTGTAAACATTTACAGCTATACGTTTTCAACTTGGTATTTTAAACATTAAAATGCTTCATTGCAAATAGCTATCTCATGGTCTGAAAAGAAAATCAGTCCAAAGATAAAACTCAAAGGTTTCATACTTCTGCACTGACTTACCAGATATTTGTCTAGGAGACGCTGGAGTAAAACATTAAAGAGGGGGAGGTTCATACTAAGTATTAATGGCAGCTATTCTTTTCATAATCATTTATGCTTCACTGTAACAACATGTTTTTGGCATAGATTTCACTTTAATCTTTTACTTCAATCCATTGAGCCCCACTGTGCCATGAGTGGTGAAAAGATAGTCACAACACCAAAAAGTTTATATCACAAATAGATAAAATCAAACAGTATATGGAGGAAAATGAGGATGGTGCACAGAACAAGCACATAACGCAGATGGGACAAGGATACAGGTCTCTTGTTCACTGTTCCACCACCCATACCCTCAGGTTTCTCTGCTGACAATGGCACATATTACTCTTTACAGCTACTAAGGACAGTTTGCAGAGTAGTTACAGCACTGGGTCCTGATCCTCCTGCTTGAGGAGGACACGCATAGGGACTGAGCAGGGCTCTAAGTCATTAGTTGAAATAATACCACCTTCTGCTGAGTAGCAACAGGTCCGAGCCACCGTAAATAACAGCTAGGTACTCTCAAAGCCTCCTCCAAAAAGTCTGGGAAAAGAAAAATCCCTCCCTTCACAGACACTCTAACTTTGATCAGAACAGAGAAAGGGTTCAGAAAGCAACAAACACACTTAATACTACCAAATCTCCAAGTCCCTCTTCTAGGAGCTTTTGCACAACAAGTTAAGAAAGGAACATACGTGGAGAGTTTAAGAAGAGGTGAGGAGCAAAGGGGAACCCTGCTATCTCTGCTGGAAGAAGGCGCTGGCTCTTGGCACAGCAAAAGCGGCAGCAGAGACTCAGCAGCATCTTCTAATATCGGGTCTGGGAGGTCTCCAGCGGCTGAACACCCACCGTTGCCTACAGCGGGAATCATGTGGGTGCTGCTGTCCCCGTCCCCAAAGAGGAGGGAGGCAGCGGGACCCTACAGCAAGCGTAGCTGCCGAAATGGGAAGAGGGAGTCGGACATCAGCCCTCCCTCCGGTCCGAAGCAAAAGCAGCGAACCTCAAGCTAAGACCTGATGGGGAATACACGCACCAAGGTTAAACTTAAGACTGTCATGGGATCGCCGTATGGGAGGTGATGTGGAGGGGAGCACAGTCAGCTCTCCACAAGCCCCGAGCTCCGCAGATTAGCAAACCGCACAGAAAGCTTGCTAAAGCTAAACCCAGAAGGAAAGAGCGAGCGTTTGCGCAAGGATTCTGGGCAAAAGCTGGAGCTCGGCTGATGTCAACCGCAGGTTAATGACAAGGAGGAGAACAACTCGCGACTCATCAGGGTCACGGGAGTCCGGACAGAGCAGGGTACCAGCGGACACCAGAGCGCTCTTCCACCGCTGAACCTTGGCACAAGTGCTCAGATTATTTCCAAAGAGGAAGGGTTTGGTTTGGGTTTTTGGTTTTTTTAACACCTAGGGATGACAACAACCTGTGAGCATAAGGGGTAAAAGCACAGTCAGCTTGCAGGCTCCAGGTTCAGGAGAAAGAACTGCCTCAAGCCAAGAGAGCAAGGGTCTTGTTTACCACCTCCTTAAACAGATTGTAAGGATTTCCCCCAGACTGGTGAGTTGGTAGCACTTGAAAGCCGTCCCCTCTTGCCCCATCACACACACGGAGTGGGTGTTTGCAGCCTCAGTCTGCAGTCCCCTTCCTTTAGCTGGAAAATGGTAATACTCCGATTCCCTCTGGTGTATTTTTCACATGACTGACCACAAAACTATTAATATCTGAATCCAGAGCTGGTTCAGCTTGACAACTCATTCCCTCCAGGGAGAGGAAAACCACAACTTCTTCCAACCCTGGAAAAAACATTTTGTGACTGCAAGACCAGCAGCTCAGATGTAAGAGAGACGGTTCTGGTTTGCTGATACACCTCAGTGGAGAACGTCAACCAGCATGAGAGAGTTCGGCTTGTTTCTTCTGTGCCTCCTTCGCATCTCCAGAAAGGGTGAGTTCTGAGCTTGCTACGAATCCCTGTCTGATCAGGGCTTTTCTCTGTGCTCTGGTCAAAGTAGCCCGGGACTTGCCTGGTATAATAAACTCTCCAAGAATTGCACCATCCCTTGCATTGCTTAAAAGGATCCTGAAATTCCAGGTGCATGTGAGAATACTGGAAAAACTCAAAGGTTTGACTCTGCAGTTGTCAGAGAGGTCTTTGGTTGGGTTTGGTGGTTTGTTGGGGTTTTTTTGTTGGGTTTTTTTTTTTTCTTTTTTAACCTGTGTAAGGAATTCATCTAACTTTTCCTGTGCATTTTCAGTTGGATGCAGCATTTCCATCACCACCCAGAAATGCTATTTCACATTCCTAGGAGTTATTATGCAACAAACACAATTTGCTCCAGTTCCACTGAGCACTTAAACTCATGTTTATCTTCAAGTATGCACTTAAGTTCCATTAAACTCAATGGGATTTACTTAGATATACTGTCAAACTGTTTGCTAAAGCAAGGCTAGTGTCTGTGGTGGTCTCCAGCTCTCGGTCTTGTTGTCTTCATGATCTTTCCATTGACAACCAACAGGTCCACTGACCTGACAACTGCTTTGGGGAGTTACCTCGTGTAAGGTGTGTAGGCTATTTACCTATGACCTTCCCTGTTTCTTGTGAAAGCTTTAATTCCAGGAACAAATGGGAGGCTGGATATTAGCAGGAGAGGAAGCCACGGAAGACCTACCATGCTGAAGCTTTAAGGTTAAATTATACACAAGATGCTGACAACTCTCTCCACTCATAACCTAGGCAAACTGTGTTTCCATAGAAATGGGTGGAGCTGGTAACATTAGAAGCACTTATTTTTAACATTATTTCTCATGTGGAGGGCACGGGGATGTTTATGTGCTAAAAAGAATGTTATTTGCTTAAGATTAGGAAAAAAAAATGCAAACCAAAAAGGTGGCAGAGAAAAGCAAATCATACTCAAAAGCACATGATCTGCAGTTCTCCAAAAGTAAGGGTCACAGTGACATGCTGTAAAATAACCAAAATAACATGAAATAAACTAGAAAGCAATAGCATTTTCTGTTTTCACTGCCAGGTCCTTGTGCTCAAAGTCCACGAGCTTCCTAGAGGTCCTGTGGCCGCATAGCCTTGTATATTAGATTACCCAGGCTGCAAAAGGTATTCGTATCATTATAATGAATGACAAGGCAGCCTGACTTCAAATCTCGGTAATCAAAATACTGGCTTGGCACTGACTCCAGATAAATAACTTAATGGCAGGGAACCGGTCCTACGTTGGCCTTTGTCCATTGTGCAGCGCACAATAGATTAACACAAACTGCACCGCCACTGAGGTATCCGTCAAATATTATGGAGAACAGATATATGAACAAGCAACAAATCTTATCTTAGAGCTTACACGAGTAACCCAACAGCTGAATACCTGCAGACCACAGTGAAGCCAGCTAGACCAGGAATGGATGACAATTACCTACAGGATGCCTTTACATTTTTTGCAGTTTTTCTCAGCTATTGAGGGGAAAGCGTTGATTTAATGAAGCCATCAAGTGAGTTTCATAAGACAGGAACATAGCCACAGACATTCCTGAAGCCACAATCTGCTGCTACAGCTGTTGCAATTAGCAAGACAGTGAATAGATACACATAGCTATATGGAAAGCATTGCTTAGCAGGTGCTGTTTGTTGATGCTGTTGGTTCCTGGGGAAGAGGAATGGATGAGACATTGAATTTTCCCTATATATTTCAAAGGTAGGGAGCGTCCATTCAGGTGAAGGCTGTTTTCATCACTGGACAAAAATGATCAGACTGGCTCTGATGGCAGCAAGGTTCAGCTCCCCAGACCGCGCTAGGATTTACTGTGACCTAATTTGGCCAAGACAGCAAAATCCCAACCAACGTTTGTGACATCCTAGCTGGAAAACTCAGGATTTCCCTTTCTGGGATGCCAGGACAAGGCCTGTCTGGGAAGATCCTGGCAGCCAGAGTCTGTGCAGTGATGCTCTGCTAACAGGGAGATGCTTTCTGTACTGCCAAGTCCTGTCCTACGGCAGGAGCTGATACAGAGAACTTGCCTTTTCTCACCAGCCTGTGTAAAATGATCTTCAAGTCTTTGTTCAGATCCTGTCACAGCTTAGGAGTAAGATGCTACTTTGTGATGATCGCAGCACTGATCATTAGAAACATCAGCTGTTATTCCCTTCCCCAGGGGTAATGCAACCAAGTGATCAGCGTAACAAATACTGCAACGTAGGAGTGTGTGTGTGCATGCACTCAAACTCAGTGCCTAAAGCCACCAGATTTCTCAATACATGTAAAACTTCTATTTTTAGTGGGGTTTTTTTGTTGGTTTTTTTTTTTTAAAGAAAAAAGTAAGCTGTTCCTCCAAGTACATAAATGTCCATTAACTGCAAAAGACTGTTACACAACTTCAGGAGCTATTGTTCACTCGACAAACAAGAGGCCTGCTTAGGAATTAAATCACTTTCAACATGAGCTAGTCAGTCCCTGGAGCTCTGGTGCAGACCGGTACCAAATCCAGCCACAGTAACTGGGCTGCACAATCATCTGCAAGTCCTCAGCAAGAACATCGAGCAGCACAGGGCCCACCACGAGAACGCAGCATCCGTTTTGTGACCAACAACGGAGCAGATTCAGGAAGGATGCCCAATTTACCTCTTAAACACTCCGGATAACTCAGTGTCGATATCTCTTTTTGCTTCTAGGTGTGCAGTCCAATGGCTGGTCTGTTCATGTTCCATCTGACGTTACTGGTGAGCTTGGGAAGATGGTTATCCTGCCCTGTACTTTCACGCACCCCTACAAAACATTTGACCGGACCCTCACGGCCATTTGGAGGATCAAGGAACCTTACAATGGCACGATAGTTTTCAAGTGCATTAGCCAGAGCACCAGCGAGCTCTGTAAGACTGCCATCAGCTACAAAAACAAATACAAACTGCTTGGCAACCCCCGGCACAAGGACCTTTCCATCAGGATTGACAATCTGACCTGGAGCGACAGCGAGAGATACTTCTGTCGGGTGGAGTTGTCCGGAGATATCCACGACAAGTATGAAAGCAGGAATGGGATAAAGCTGCACTTGATTGGTAAGAGGGCATGAGAGCCAAAGCCACCCCGTAGGGAAGTGAGAGCCACAAGATGTGGAAATCAATGAGATGGTAACAGAAGTTGACCTGAGATGGTCTTCCAAAGGGTTGGCTTTTCCAGCTCTGCGGACAGTTTATAACATTTGGGCAGGGAATAATCATTGCCTTCCGCAGCCTTCCAGTACAAGGCGAGGAGCACAACACGGGGAAGGGAAGAGGAACAAAACTGGTAAGGAAATAGCAAGGCTCCGGCTGCTGGGGTAAGAGCCAGCCAAATCCTGGGCATCCCACTTTGTCCCTGCAGCACAGGATCTGTGCAGGCAGCAGAGAGGCAAGCTGGGGTCAGCAGCCCATGGGGTGGGGAAAAAAGCATCCTCTTCATCAGAATCTAAACGCGAGAGCCTGGGCGCCGAGCACATGTTAGCAAATATAAGCACAAGAAGTGGGATTGGAAAGACAAGATACCTGGCACCCACGTGCCACAGGTCCAAAATCCTCTGCAGCAGGAAACATTAAGTACAAACAGCCTGAAAAACCAGCTCGTATCAACAAACGTCAAATGCTAATCCCGTGTCCCGGGGTGTGCTCACAGATCAAGGGAGCACTGAGACCCGGGAACAGCATCAGACCTTACCTGTGGGTGCAAAGCTGCCATGAGTTGGATGATTTTCCTTGCAAAGTGAAACTGCCTTACGCCTGCTGTGCACTGTGGGCGTCCAGATAGGACCAGAGGATGAGTTCGGTTACTTCTTGGGAAGTTCTGCGTAATCAAGGCTCTCCTTCACTTGGAGCAGCTCCTAAACACCCTCACACACAGCATGACCAAGGCAGGACGGCAGCAAGATCCGTCTCTCATTTGGGGAATGGACCCTGATAGTATGAATGGGAGGGATTAAATAATGCTTAAAAGGTTATTTTTTAAACACCAAACCACACAGACACATGACACACGACTAACACAGCTAGCTTTCTTATGGATCAGTCCTCCAGCCTCAAACTCCTCCTGCATTACATAGACAAGGGGGAAGACGTGCTGTAGGTGGTTGCAAGCTATATATTTGTTGTCTAGTCTGACCAAAAATTAAATCAATATTGAACTCCTGCTTTTCCTCCGTGAGGACACTCATTTAGTTCCCTTCAGTTTTCACAGTGCCTTTAGGAACCAAACACATTAAATGGGTCAACAGGCCCAAGAGGGGAGGATCGATGGGCAACACAAGCTTGGTCGTATCATCTACGCCTCCTTAGCAGACTAAACCAAAGATGACATGTTCAATACCGCATGTCTTAACATTCTGCATCCCCAAAATGATCTTTACCACTGTTCATGCAGTCACACAATCCCATATGCTACAAATCCAGGACACAAAATTAGTGGCCCTACCTTGGTATCGGTGTACTACGCCAAAGCAACCAGGAACCTACACCAGTTATTGGGTGGTCACTACAGGGTTGGAGAAATGCATCAAAAATAGGTTGTAGCAAGGAGTGTAAATGTTTCCCGACAATAATTTGCCAAACCTGGCAAGTCTCAGGCACCAAGCAAAGGGCTCGCACAAACGGATCCAGCCACAGGTGTTCTGGAGGTCAGAGACCAAAGGAACAGCCATGAGACACTTGCAGGAGAGCACCGTGGTTGCCTCATCCCCAACCACGTGCAAAAGCAGCCGGTCACCAGCTGCACCCGTGCCTACGTCGTGGACAGTACTGGGCTGCGATTCATGGTGCAACCGCAGAAAGCAGCCCTTCTTCATGGATGATTTACAGCACAGCGCCTCTGCCTTCTGCCACCGTGGAAGGTCACAACAGTTGAAGTTGACCGAAGTTCAGAAAAAATAGCATTACAGGGATAAAACACAAATAGAGTACACATCCTCGCACCCAGGCTTTGCTGGGTGAATCCCTTTGTTCCTCTATCCAACAGAGGCAGGGTGGGGAAATCAAGGGAAAGAAAGTGCCGAGAAAAAAACGAGGACGGGGAGGTTTGATCCCAGCGTTACCCTGATATAGCATGCCGAGGGTCCACCAAGACTTCGTTCCAGGTGTTTTGCGTTAGACCTGCCTTTGAAACCTGACCGCTTTCCCTCCCCTGTTGTGATTTCTGCAGCTGCCCCCAGGATCATTAACATCACCGTCAGCTCCAACGGGGATCGCACCTTCCAGGCACGCTGCACTGCCGAGGGGGAACCGGCGCCCGCTCTGACCTGGACCGGACCACCCTACAGCAACATCACCTCCATCACCAGCATGAACCATCGCGTCACTAAGGAGCTCCAGTACCTGACCCACGATGGAAAATATACCTGTATTGCTGTCAACACCCATGGGAGAGCAGAAGGGGCTGTGTACTTCTATAAATTCAAAGCATCCAACAGCTCCTTCTTCCTGATCCTGATCTTTGTGCCGCTCGGAATTAAAGTGCTTATTTTACTGGTGATACTGAGCTTCACCGTTTTCTCGAGAGGAGGTACGTATTGCTGTTTCCCTTGGTAGTCTTCCTCCATCAGACTTGGTAACCAGATGGGAGAGAAAGTCAGGCAAGAGGGGTTGGGTTTGTTTGGGTTTGGGTTTTTTTTTAATGATTTCATGATTTTCCACCCTAGGAGAAGGACATTTCTAATGGGAAATCTAAGAACAAGTAAGAGGGACCTCCTGGCTGGCCGAGTCACAGCCCGCGGACAGGAGGTCTCCTTCGGGAAGGGATCTTTGAAAAGACAGAGGGAGCAGGAGTTTCCCTACCTGAGGAGAAAGGTTAATAAACTAACAGATGGGCAATTAGCAGAGAACCCACCGCCTACGCAACCAGATTTTTAATTTTTTTTTTCTTGAAGCAGACTAATTACTACCTCTTCCTCTGTAGCCCATGGGCAGGATTTACCTTCGCTGCATCCCACACAACAGTTTAATCTCCTGGGGTGGGCATCATCATTTTACAAACCGCCCCTCGTGGTCTCCCGGGCCTCGCTACCCAGGTGGTCCCCGTCATTAGTGAAATCCCACCTCCCAACCGCACCAAGGCCATGGGAGCAGGGAAAGCCCAGCTCGTAGGAGATGAAAATCAGCTCACGGGCCGAGGGATGAAGCCCCAAGAAGCCCTGAGGCCGCTGGCCCCCCTGTGCCCCCCACCCCTGCTGTGTGACAGCGTGGGCAGGAGGGGACCAGGAGGGACTCCGAGGTTCTGCCTCTCAGGCTGGACAAAATATCACATCGCCACAACTCAATCTGTAGAGACAGTCCAACGTCAACCCTTTGCGAAAGCCACCGCTTGTCTCAAAACCGTAGAAGCATCGAGGCCAACCAGGAACGCTTTGCTCCTTATATTCCAGTGCCTAATTCCCACTCCCACAACACGCCTGACAGAAGGTCTTCTCCCTAGTCGCTGGAGTGTCACAACCACACTCCAGCACAGCTCCCCGACACCTCGAGGTCAATCCTGGCTCCCCAGCTCACTCTGACCCCATTGCTAACCCACGTCTGCCTTCTCACTTCACAGGTCCCTCCTCCGCTCCATCCAGCCTGGCCCGGTAAGGATGTCTTGCCTTCTACTCAATGTTATCCAGCAACAGGGTAGAGATGGCTAAGGAGAGAAACGCAACGTGTCCTTGGTCTTGGCAACAACCTTCTGGCCTGAGAGCAGGCTCCTGGGACAAGGACAGGGTTGGGGTGATGGCCAAGCGAGCCGGTGTGAGGGACCAAGGCTTGGGCACTGCTGGGAGGAGGCTCTGGTTTGGGTACAGCTGAGAAGAGACCCCACTGGTGTGAGGACAAGGGACAGTACGTTGGAGAGACCACGGCACACGGATGCTGCGGCAGCAAAGGGCTAGCAGAAGTTTAGGTGAGCATGGTAGGAAGCCACGTTAAACTAGCAAAAGAACCACCCAACCGAGGGAACAGACCGGGATGGGGTCTGTGCCAGGCTGAGGAATGATGAACGAGAGGGGGGGAACCGTGCGACAGAAACCTTCCCCTCCCTCTGCACCCCAGTCTCTAATGGGGGGAAAAAAAAAAAAGGTCCACGCCAAAGCTGATGAGACCTGTCAAGTGTGGAAGAGGTAGGGAGATGCAAAATGGCCCACCTCAGAGTCAGGTCAGGTGGGGCAGGGCCCAATTCTTTGGCTGGCATCCATACCGCGCTCCCACAGTACCTTTGGCATTTCCCACTACCCAGCACAACGCCGTCCTTGGACACTCCCGACAGCTGTGGTGGCCAAGCCAGGAAGGGATGAGGGGGAAAAAAAAAAACAAAACCAAAAACCAACGAACTAAAATGCAAAAACAACCCTTAGGCTAAACCTAAAGGAGCTGTATATCTGAGGTCAGCATAATTACATCAGCCTGGGGCCGCTCCCTTCCAACCCGAGTTACCCCTATGTGATGTCTCCTTCCCTCCCCTTACCCAAGACAGACGGGCATTTCAGCAGGACAGTCAAGTGTACAGCATCAGGACACAGCCAAAGGGGCAACAGGGAATTTAACCCTACAGTTAAATTTGGAATAATTATTTTCAAAAGCATCGTTTTGCTGCTTTAACAGTGTCTAAACCATACTGCACCCTCAATTACATTTGTATAGGTACGTACATAGGTGCAAGCTTAAAAACCAAGCTCTTCCACGCCCTGCAAGAGCAGATCCTCTCAGGAGAAGTTTGTCACAACCTCCCGAGGCTCTGAGCAGCAGAACAGTTAATGCTAACGGTGTAGGAGATCATTCTGGATGCTTTAAGATGTAAAACATTAGATGCAAACACTTCAAAACTACCTGCTGCAGAAGGGAGGACCCGTATTGCAGACGCTTAACTCTGACACTCCTTAACTACTAGCTGAAGCCACTTATAAAGTCTAGAACAACTAGAAACGTGTCTTCACCTTATTCCCTTCTTCTACCGCCAGGTCACAGCCGCAAGACTCCACCTATGAGAATTTTGACCGCAGACACGGCAGCGGCCAGACTTTGCCGAGAGAAAGAACAGCCTCCAGACGCAGTTGAGGACCTGCACTGTCTCATCCACACCCGCCTGCACAGTTCGAATTCCTGTCCGCTCTCTGCAAGGGTTCCTTTTCCCAGCGAACATAAGACTGACGTTGACTGATGCGCAGAAGGTCGAACAGGCCTTGCACGTGCGTGACTTCCATCCCTGCTGCTGCTTACAAGCAAGAGAAGCCCTTAAAGGGAAAACAGAAGAAAGAAAAGAGAAAACAAAGAGGGATGGAGCTGGAAGAGCAGAAGAGGATCGACACAGGATGTCAGTTCTAACCAACCTGTGTGTTTTTAGCCCTTATCAGATAGTGCTTAGCAAGCAGAGAACAGTCCACCATTTTCTCACATCTTTTTGCTTTGGTATTTTTCAAAAGTTACCTCAAAAAGCAGTTTTCACCACTCCACTTGTCAAAACACATGCAGCTTCCAAAAGCCAGCAAGTGAGCTATTTTCATGTTTCAAATACCTGCTGTGAAAAACACACTACTGGAATCTCTGCTGGTTTGGTTTTATTATTATTCCTTAAATTGCAGAAGAGTCTATTTAAGAGTTTGGAGGAAATCTTAAGTTTCAAGAGGAGCCCAAGCAAAAAGGAAAAGAGGTTTTCCAGAAGACAGTAGAGCTGAAAGCAAGACATGCAAAGTGTAGTCTGTATTGTAACTCTACTGCAGCTCCTAGTGCCCATGTGCACACACAAGCAGAATCTCAGAGCTTTTTGATAAATACGCTGTGAAAATGTTTCAATAAACCAAATGGGCTTTTTTTTTTTAAAGAAAAAAAGCCCCCCAAAATTATTTCTAAACAGTTTCCATCTCTGTATTACATGAAAAAGGTCCTTTAAGGCCTGACTGCTCATTTCAAATTCTTCTGCAATGAAGTCGCTACTACAAAGTCTCTGGCCATCCACAGACAAGTCTCTAACCCAACTGGGAACGTGCTCCAAGACCAGGTGAATAGACCCAGCTTATGGTACAGGATGATGCAAGTCAACCTGGCGTCTTGGTCAGGCAAAGGTCCAGGAGAGGGCTGTGAAGAACGATGGGTTGGCATAGAAGAGGAGAAGAAAGAATGAAAAGCAAAGAAGCGACAAGAACCTACTTTCAGGTTTCTATCACTGGATTCAATGCTCCGTGCAATCATTCCAGTGCAGCAGCTCCAAAACTCTTCCCTTAACGATCCTGCTTCTGGTAACAACCACCACTGGCTGGAAGCCCGAGCTGCTGCTGAATTACCATCAAGCCTGTGGTCCTGCTTGCAAGCTCACCCCCAGCCTGGGAATTAGTATTTTAAAGTTCAGCTCTTCATAACATCTGTGCTGGGAAAGTAAAGCGCAAGTTTAAATGACTTGGCCAGGATAACAAGGGGGGGAAAAAAAAAAAAGGGGAAGAAAATAAATGCAAGGAAATACTTGAACCTGATCTTTTCAATCCCAGTTTAAAATCCCAGCAGTGGCAAAGCCAGGTTTAATACAAATAGAAAGAGATGCAAAGATGAAAAGGAAGTAATAGCAGACAGTGTAGTCATGGACAGGTAAGCTCAGTTTCACAGGTGTCACAGGAGGAAAGAGACATCAATAATATTAACCGGACAAACCGAATTGAATTTCTGAGCCCTTATGATTTATAGACATATATAAGAGTAATGAGAACCCATTTCTACCTTTCTAAGGGATTGAAGCTTGGCTTACAGGATTCTTCTCTTGAAAACTACTACTCTAACGCAATTAGTTTGGGTCCAAATAGAAGCATCAGACCTCGTGCCCCAAAACCACCCGGGATGCACTGAGTGTGCCCTGTTGCGTGTTGTCAGCGCCCTGCACTCGGAGCGCTGCCAGCAAACACATGCCACGAAATTGCTGCAGCAATTTAGATGCAAGGAAACTCATGGATCAGCGCTGTTTGACTTTTACTTTACTTGGTTTCCAGAGCACAGTCCACGTTAGTGCAACAAATGGGAGAACAAGGAGGTCCAGGTACAGGAACCCATCACACCCCTGGACACCAGGAAAGGGTCAGAAATGAGTTTGCCTGAATCCTGTCCCTCTCCCCAGTAAGGGACCTCTTTAACCCATCCAAACCCCTACAAGATTGAGGATGAGCCACCTGAGAGCTTACAGGTCAGCATTAGCAGGCCAGCAAACACAGGTGATGGTGTGGTGGGTGTCCACTGCAGACCACCCGCCCGGGCAGTACATAAGGAAGAAACCCCACGTTGACAGGCCCTGGTCCTCACAGGGGACTCAAACCAGTATATACTGGAGGGACAAAACACAGCACATGCCAGGAGGTTTCTAGTACTGACCTCATTTGGCCTAACAAGTGTGTTCCAGTTCCTCCCCTTTGCCCCCCACTCTCCCAGTTTATACATAATCAGGGTTTGGGAGGATTTGGCCATTGCTCTGTTGAGCACTTTAGTTTCCAGAGTAAACGATACCAACTCCCAGCACCACAGTGCCACAGCCCCTGTGGGATGCTGTAGAGGCAGCCTGCATAGGAAGCACTGTCTGCACATTTCATGCATCTTGCTGCTCAACTTCTGGTTCTCCGTTCCACTAACTTAATGCCACATTCAGCTGTTATGTTCATTTCCCTATTTGACCTTATTTTCTTAATAAATACTTAAGCTGCAAACCACAGGCAACAATTCATCCCAGTGCAACAACTGCTGTGCAAGTCAAACATTCGAAAAGCCACAGATACTCATTCTCCAACTAAACTGCATGAATTGTCCAAAAGGCACACTTTCCACTGCAATCTATAATGCTAGAAACACCACAAAACTCAGTTTTCCTTCTGAGATTGCCTGGTTCCATTTATGATGTGAACAAGAACACTGCAGTTTAGGGTAGCAGGGAGGGTAGTAGATGCTGGGAACGTGAAAGTCTTTCCAGTAAAACCAGAAGAAACAAAAAGTCAATCTGTTGGGCACCACTCGGAGAATAATCCAAGCTCTGGAGTTCACATTTGCGACAGAGAACTGCCAGTGGATCTGTTAGTTCATAAAACTGTTCCCCTGTATCTGAGGAAAGCACAGGTTCAGACTGCCACCGCTAGCATGCTCACCAAGAAGCCAGAAGATTGGTGACACGTAGAGCAAAAGCTGTAGCTTACAGTGAGTTCTCCCTATTTCTTAGGACCTACCATAGTATGATACAGAGAGGACTTTAACCACGACAAAACGCATCGTCTTCCTCACAATTACTAGATCGAGAAATGGGAAAAAAGTCAACAGCATCACTTCTATTACATTTTAAGCAGTAAATTATTAAAGAAGCTGTTTCAATGGTCAAGACAAATGGACGTGATGATGGCATCAATGGTGTTTGCTGACAGCGGTAACCCCAGCCTGGTCCAACCCTGCCTACCAGCAAAGCCCTGAGCAAGAATGTTGTACCACCAGCACTGGAGGCATAGTTTTCTCCTACTTCCCTCCACACTACCAGCTTTCCCCTCATTTGGGATAAATACCAAATTCCACAGTCTGGATCAGTTGTTAGCGCTGAAAGAACAGAACCAGTGCATCACCCTACATTATCACAGAGTTTTGGGGGATTTTGCCAGGACAAAGAAACACTATTTCTGCTACTAAATAAATGAGCTTTCTTCCTGGGCTCTGAGCACAAAACCAGGCTGTTGTGTCACACACGTGTTAAATCCAGGATGTTAAACAGAAGAGTCTCCAGACCTCCATCAACTGAGCAACTGCGTGGCATTCCCCCATCACACTTTCCTCTCCAAGAACAATTACCTATTACCTGATGTGGATTCTTCCAGCAAGTTGAAAATATCATGGTGTTTGTCACAAATTACTTGGGTTTTCATTTTTATTTTGCATGGTCTTTGCAGACATAGCATGTTATAAATACAACATTTGTAAAAACTCAACAGCTGAAACAATATCTCATTTTAAAAGTGCATGTCAAACACACATATATATGACTTTTTCACATTTTTATGCAACTGATCAATAACATAGAATCTAATAAACCCAGTGCTTTTAAGTCTTTGGGGGGGGAAAAAGCAGCAGAATGTATTCTTCCAGACATGAATTTTCCAAAAGAGTCTGTTAAAAAACATGCTGCATCAATACCTGGTTAGTATACAGAGAGATGTACATATGTATATATATTTATAGGCTCGCAGATAGAGCAAAGAACTCTAAGACCACATTAGGATGAAGGTGATCTAATGACCCAGCTGGCACAGTTAGCAGAATCTGTCAAGAAGAAAAAGGTGATTTGTTCTCCAGCACCAGAACCACAGTTAAGAGCAACACTTCAAAGCATTATTGACCAGACAGTAGGTAGCACATCTCCTTCCTCTAGTGACCAGACCCAATGTTTTCACATGTAACCATGTTCTAAACAGAAAGGCACAATTAATGGAAGAAGAGAAGTGATCATTGTTCCTTCATAGAGGTGTACAGACTGGGACCGCAGGATCTTGGGCCACCTCAAACGTATCGGTGATAAAAGGGACATTAGAGAAGCAACTGGGGAAACTCGCCTTCTGCTTTCCCTGAACAAAAGTGCATCTTATGGTCAGACAAGGCAACAAAACCAGGGATCATTCAGCTGAGACAATACATTTACAGGCTCGTGGTTCATGCTTTGGCAATAGAATTCTAACAAGTGATCACCAAATTTAATACAAGGTAAATACCTTTTCACAGTGTCATCTAAAATCCTGTCGTGTCATGCCCAGCTAGGCAGAAAAGAATATAATTAAGTGGTGGGTGTCCACTTGTTAAATCAGTATTTCCTAAACAACAAAAGTTTCAGAACTAAGGAATCCTATCCAACATGATCATAACTGGCTATGTCCCTCCCAGACACTGGGGATCCAGAAAATCCATCTCTGGATTTAAATCACCTGACTCGGGTAGAAGTTACTTGCATTTAATCAAGCAATATGGATACAGACTAGCTAATATTTAGAAAATAGGGAAAACCAAAGTTCTTTAGTTCAAACTTTAGTTTGTATTTACAGAAGTGAGAGAAGATTTTTAGGTTTACCTTTCTACTACAGATTTCTGTGGGATAGCAAAAAAAAAGGTCAAAATTTAAACCACTATCTTGCCAAATACAGGGATTTCACAAGTCTCCAGACACACACTCACGTAAGATTCAGAGGTATCCTGGTTAAGAACGTCAAAACCTCTTTTACACACAATCCTCCACTCACTTTGAACTGGCCTGAGTAATGACACGTTGGAAAAAGAAAAAAAAGGCACAAAGCAAAAACTTAAGGTGTTACAGGATGAGCTTTGCTGTCTAATGATTTGTACACCTATCCTCAGGTATCTCCTCTCAGATACGCACCATACACAGGGAGATACTCAGGTGTTTTCAGTCAACAAAACTAAGCAATTCCACAGGCCTACTAATAAAAAGAAAAGAAAGAAAATTTTAAGAGGAGAAAACTTGCCAGTGTGCAGTTCCCATTCACACTTCTGACTTAAAGTGGAACTCTGAAGGTAAAAATTACTTGTGCAATAACAACATTATATGTAAACCAGAGCAATCAACATTGCATGATGATTCTGTGAGCTCAGTGCTGCTATCGTATGCTGTCCAAATAATGCACTTCTGGGTACAGAGTGTTAATAAGGAGAGCCAAGAGATTATTGCCATCTCGAAGACAATGTTCTGGATGCTTGATGAACTGAGAAGACTGGGAGAGCTGCTCTTGATAATCCATATATTGTTTGTTTGATGCCATAGATTCAAGAGCATTCAGTGCCTATAGATACAAGGGAAAATTCTGTTAGCTGTGCGTACTTTGGTCCATAACAAACTGCTTCATGAGCCATCATATGCACAATTCCACTAGAAGATCCTTATCTCTTAGAGAACCCAGAGTATTTGGAACAAAACATTTGTAAAATACAATCACATAACAGTGCTTCAAGTCAACTCGTATTTTTCAAGCTGTTCTCTCTCTGACAGCAACTGTTCTATCAAGGCTTGCTAGGATTCTGTAACTCAAATATCATAAAATATTTACTTCATGAACTCAAGACATAGTTTCAAGTGAATTACACTGAACTACAAACTGTGACACACTTGAACTATTCACTTCAGGTTGTTCTTATGAACATCTTGGTTTTCATAAAAGTATTCCCATGCACTTAGCAAAACAATAACATGGTCAGTGCACATGCTGAAGAAGGAATGTTTATTTGTCATAGGGCTTTTAAGCCCTGATCTCACATAAACAAATGTTAGCGTGAATGTAGCCCTTCTTTATCACTGAACAGCACTGCAACCACAGCAGCACTGTTTTTTCCTCTTTGTTTTAAATTCCTTCTACCTGCTATGTTCCAAAGTTTCTGAACTCAGGGTTTACAGACATAAGTTCATCTGCACCTTTTTAGTGTATCAGATTAGATACTGATGCCCTCATACTCATACAGAACGCTGTATAGACAGTTTTACCTAGGATCACTTTAGGTTAGGGCTCAGGCACACAGTCCTGCTACCAGAGTTCAGCAAACTGACATTATCATCTGGCCTATGCTGCACCTGGCCTTGTCTCTGGCAAATTCCAACATGGTGTTTTGATGTATAGCAAAATAGTACACAGGTTTGTGATACAACCCCTTCCCTGAGAAGACAAGTGAGAGCAACAAGCTATTTCGGAAATTCAGAATTTAGAGCCAGGTGTAAAGCAGAAGTAAAAAAAGATTGAGGGCATTCAGCGCCGAATAAAATCAACAAGCTAAGAGCAGGATTTAGCTCGAAAAAATGCTTGCAGCGACTTTTATAAGCTTCACCCCACAAGCTGAGCAAGCATGCAAAGAGGGCATGTCAACAAGCCAGCAATTGGCACACACTACCTGCTGGGCCTTCTGCGACAGCTTTGGCTCTGACCCCGCTTTCAGGCGGACTTGACTCTCTGCAGGAATCTGCACCAAGAGGAAGGCGGACAAACTGCGGGCAACCACCCGAAACCTTGCGTAGGGAAAAGGACAGAGAGAGAAGGTGATACCAAATTTGCAAGTCCTTGACAGCGGATAAACTGGAAGTTCTATCCTATGAGATCTCTCTGATGAGGAACATAGTAAAGGCTTTAGAGGATCTTTTTCAATGCATTAGAAAAAAATAAATCACTTTAATATATACATAACAGGATGTCATACATACTAGAGGATAATATAATACCATACGTATGAAATGTTACATCTGTTCCAAGCTTAGCTGAAGCTTTGAGGTCACATCTGAAATACTCCTTCATTTCACAGCCTTTGAAACAGTCTCATCGCCCAAATCAAAGGGCGAGTTGAACAAGACTAAGATTTCAGAGCAATTTCAACAGGATTGCATCCCAGAAGGTCTTTATAAACACAAAGTTATGTTTAAGTACTGTGTTGAATTAGTGTTCCACAAACATTTACATATTTTTTCTTGGCATTCTTTCCATGGTGAACTTGATTTTAATACCTAACAACCAAACTTGGTGTCTCTCTTTAGAAGGTAAAATGAGTAACAAGCAAGCAAATACTTCTTTGAGCTACTCTTAACATTTCCAATCCCTCAAGGTCAAGACGGAAAAGGCAACATGCATATAATCATACAAGATTCTCGTGAGGTTAACTGGAACAGTCTTCTACAGACCAGATGAAAGTATCTTCCTCTAACAAACAGTCTCCCTACAAACTTTGCTGGAGATGGACATTAAGCCAGAACCACAAGTGCATTTTCTTTCCTTTTCCACCACAAACTTTGCAGAAGTTCATATTCACTTCTTAACCAGATTAAAACACTTGCTACATTTTTTCTGTGATGGGCTCAAACGACTTTACAAATTTGGACAGCATGGATTCAGAACATCTTTTGACATTGCACTGTGCAGTCTGGACCTAGGCTGCAGCTTTTTTAACATGATGACTCCAACCAATTAATTTGCCACACCTTCAACCCTTACCTGGGTGACAAAGGAGACCTCCTGCCTAGACCAATAGCACCAAGTATTCCAGAAGTCAGTCTCTCTTCAGCCAGCTGACTCTGCCTTCCCTGGATCGACAGCAGTGTCCGAATGACAGATTCGATCAGAACGGTGTCATCTTGCTCCATCTGAATCAAGGATAACTGCATGGCTTTATGCCACCAAAGAAACAGCTTTGCCTCTTCCTTCACTGAGCTTTAGGTGAGATTTAAAGAATAAAATAAAAGAAAATATAATTACAAAAAAGAGCCAGATGCATAGGTTAAGAAGTTTGTGTCTCTCCTCATTAGGTCCATGAAGAATTCAGGTGGTTTATTAATGAGAGCTAATCTTACTATACGAGGATAGCATAACTATACTACCCCACCAGTTATTATACCGCTGTAACTGCTGTTGTTCTGGATTTGATCCAGACACCAGCTACCAGGTTTTAAGGGCCTATAAGAGTACAAAAAACAATGCTTCCTTTTAAGCTTTACAACCTAGAATAAATGATATTGCAGCCATAACTGGATTTAAACTTGTCTAAGACTTGGTATAAAAGGAATGAAGCTGTATCTCTACTCTTTTTTTTTTTTTCCTCTTCACTTACCAATGCAACACTTTAGGAAGCACTAGCTGTTGTTTCCACAACAATTTAGACTTTTAATATGATCTTCTAGAAAAGGAAACGTTGAAGTTTTTCATTGAGCAAAGCACAAAGTGAAGTTCCCCCTATGATATTTTTAATCTTCCCCCAAACATTTTGCAGCTTAAGTTAACAAGCTCAGATTTTCCACATAAAGCATCAGCACGAGTTTCCTGCATCAGACTATCCTCACATTACTCCACCCAGTCATTTCCCATCCCAGGCACCCTCAGCTTTGATGTTTAGAGCAAGGTTTAATTTGCTGCGTATGGTGGCTTTGCTGTCTCCTTCACACTTTGGCAATCGAATTACTATGGTACCTACAACAGTGAAAATATTCTTTGAATTTCAAGAAACAGTGGGAATGTACATTTTCCAAAAATGTTCTTTCACAGCAAACACAAACATTATGAACATTAACATGGAAAAATATTCACCGCGTTTGCTAAATTCTGGCAATTTCAACAGCTACTGTAAATACAGCTGTTACATACTTTAGGTAAAAAGTATTATCATTTTAATCCCAAAGCTATCCATCCTTTTCCCCCGGAACCCTGTTATCTAGTAAGCTGTTTTATAGCAATACAGGCCCCTAACTCTGGGCACCCCACCAAATCCACTGGGTTCAGATTTGGTTCACAGCTGCTGAACGCCAGGTGTCTCAGTGTCAAACTCAGTATTTAGCACATAACTTATCCCACCTAGTGGACATTCTGGAGAGTGGAACCCACAGTGATTTAGGGTTTGCTTAAAGTAGTTTTAACTGAACACAAATCCAGGCTGCCATTGAAATCAAGCTTCTCTGACTGAAAACTGACCAAAACTGCACCAGAAGTGTTCAAGTGAATAAAATTCCTTCTTCTGTTTAACCACAACTACTATTAGTGTTGGCACTGTTGTTGAGCAGACTCCTTAACAGTGGATATAGAAAGATCAGCCATTTCATCCAGCAGCCTGGTGAAATGAACCTAATTAACTTGGCCACCTAATTATACCAGCTATACAACTACAGCCTTATTTAAAAGTCAAAGTATATTCAGAAGCCTTGAGTTTCGTACCTTGGGTACACTTGCTCCAGCCATTTGTTGATGGTTAGCAGGATTTTCATTTCATTGGTAAGAGTTTGGTCAGTGTTTAGGCATTGCAGCAGGTAGACATACAGGGTCAAGTAGCTTCCTAAAGACAGACACTCCTGCAGGAATTCTTCCATGGTTAGCTCAGGAACTTGGAGGGAGGCAAGTATAGGGCCCCAGCCTAAATCCTGGTGGTGAGGAAAATCTATAAAGAAAACAAAAGGACAGAACAAATTGCATGTGAGAAAGCAGTACTTGGTAAAACTTAAGAACTGGAACTACTTCACTGTGTTCCTGTAAGTTACAGAATTTGGGCTGGTTTAGCTGTTTTCCAGGTAATCAGTTTGTCATGCAACTCTAATGGAGAGAAAAGAAAAACTCCACTATCATAGGGCACCTCCTAGAGGTAAAGGAGAGATATTTTCCCAGCATTCAGTCAGGATTAAATTTGAAAATTTTAGTGATGGAATTTTAAATATTTCCTTCAGGCGTACTGAAATCTGATCACACAGAATGTGGAAGAAATTGAAATGTAGTTCCACAAGGAATACGTAAACAGAGAAGGAAAAAAAAAAAACCACAAACAAAACCCACACCAAAAAACCCCCCACAGCACAGAATTTCAGAGTTTTACCAATCAAGAATATTTTTTTCTTAAGTTAGCCCACAGAACACTAGAGGAGGGGACAAATACCTGTTTTGTTCTCTTGAGATGGTTCTTTTTTTAAACAGTTGCAAAAGAGCAAATCGTTTTTCACAGAGACAGGTAGAGTTGTTAAGAAAATACACAGTTAGAGCAGTTGAAAAACCCAAACCACAGTGCCCTAACTTTTCTACAACTAGTTACTACAGCACATATACGTGTGACAGTTGGGAGCCATTAGATACAAAGAAAGGAGCTCTGATTACAGATTAAAACCCAGTTCCAGTACTGGGCAGCAGGAAGCTATAGGGATTCCAGACTATTTGTATTTAATGGGCATCCAAGACAGACTCCTACCTTCATTGAAGTAAGCAGTGATACAGGCTTCTGTCGTCTCTGCCATGTGTCGCACAGAGGCCAGGCTCCGACACGCTGCTGTGAGAAGAGGCATTGCTAACAACCCGTGCACTTTGCTGTCAATCCACTTTCGTAAGCTCCCCCGTAGCGACTCAGCTGTTGTAACGCTAGAATTGTTCATCATCATCAGCGTTTCTGTAAAGAGACTGCTGAGGGCCATATGACGTGTTTGCAGATCCATATCTGAAAGTCAGAAATAAGAGAGCCATTTCAGTAAAGAGACACTAGAACCCAAATTCAACTTCACCACTGAACGCTTTCTGTAGATACTGGGAAAAGCCTGTTGCTCATTACACATCTCAATTCCTTGTCTGTACTTATGAAGCTGCAGTAAGACTCCCATTCCTCGCAGTCTCTTCCCTTGATGTGATAGTTCATCATTCGTTAAACAGAGAGACAGCTGATAAGACTGTACAGCAGAGCACATTGCAGCCCATCTTTCACCTACAGTCTCTTACCTTGACTACAGTGCAAATAAATTAAATGATAAAGCCCATTTACAGTCTCCAAGAAAACTTGGGTATTAAAACACAGTCTAAAGCACAGCTTAGAGTGAAACAATCAAGATTATAGGTGATTCAATTTGAAATATGACCGAGACGAGCCCCAGAATGTTGCAATCCCCTCACGCATTTCCAGGATTCTAGATTTCCTGATAAACCCAGTGTTCTGCCCCAGAATATTTTTTGAAACCATCTCTTGGCATTGCCTGAACATGTTATCACAGGCCACCTGTAACAGTACCCTTGAAGCACAAATGCTTCCTGCGCTTGGCTCTTAAAAGTCTAACTACAGAGCACGTATTGATGAAAAAAGCCACTATTGTTACAAAACTTTTCAAACAACATCTGGCATTGTAGAAGGAAAAATTTCAACTGGTTATAAAGAAAAGTTGCGCACAAAGAAGGATTAATCACTGGAAAAACATCGCCCAAAGGGGTTGAGACCTCCACACTTGCAAATATTTGGGAGCTCACTGGACAAAGCCCTGAACAACCTGATTTAACTTTGAAGCTAGCCCTGGTTTGAGGAGGAGGTTGGACTACAGGCCTCCAAAAGCCCTTCCAAACTAAGCTATTCTGTCTGTATCTACCTACTAAGAAAAAAAAAAAGGGGGCGGGGGGGGAGAGGGCAAAAATAAAAGCCCCAAAAGTCATCTGTCACGGCACAGCTCTCCAGTAAGGTAAAAATCTCTTATCCCAGACGATAAGACGATAAAGACGATGCCAGGAGGTTAACCAACTTGCCTACGGTCACAATGAGTTTTACAGCCAAGTCCCACAGGCTGCAGACCACCGAGTGGGACCACCACCAGACACCAGAGCCCACCAGATCCTCTGGGACAAGCCCTGGCACACTGCCCGCATGAGAAGTCCAGCTTTCTCCTCTTCAGCTGTTGTCAACAGAAGGTGCTGCTTGCAAAAACTTCTGCCAGCCCCCTCCAAACCTCGCAGAGAAGCTAAACCTGATACCACCACCTTTCTGCCACTCTGCATCAGTGATCCTCGGGCATGAGCAACACGGAGCATCCTCTCTTTCAGCCTTTTAACACATACAAGTGTGCACAGGGGTTCACGAAACAGAGTTGCTCCTCTGATACTGGAGCTCCTGTCTCCTCCAAAATTTCTCAGCCACAAGGAGCAACAACAGGCAAGCCTTCATGTCTCCTCAAGATGCAAAGAGTTTTACTGACTACGGGGCTGTCCTACAGAGCTTCCCCAAGTAGCAACACAAATACTGAGGCACAGTTATGACTCTCACAGATTTTCAGACACTTTCTGTTCACTCTTGCTAGCACACCTCTGTGACTCATAGACAGGAAGAGACATGACTCCTGACAAGTATTTCTGTGTAGTACAGCAAGAAGACTGATTTCACCTGCAGTTTTAGTTTGAGAGAGGAAGCTCAGGATGATACTAGACTAAAAATGAGATCAATATAAATGCTGTGGGTGTGGATACACCATACTACTAGTATACATCAACATAATTCCCCTACTTCAATACAGTCAGTTTTCCCAAATGCACAACAGTTTAGAACCATTTCTTAGAACCCAATCCCTCAGGACCAAGAGAGTGTATTTGTGTCATCAGTTTTACTCACAACATAACCCCTGTTTTTTCTGTTGGTTCTGTCACTCTTGACAGGTCTACAGGGTAGTGTTCATATTTTTGTTTTGCACTAATATACCACCTATACATACATCGCCAAAGCAACATGCCCTGCTGCCCGTAAGGGAGACATTATAGTAATGCAAGTAATTACATAGTCACAGATGTTCAACAATCCACGCAGCAGAATAAGGATCTTGACTGCTTTAAAGTAATTTGCCGCTTCTTTAACACAAACCTGGCGGATTAAAGATGACTATATCATCTAGCAACTTGGACATCTCTTGTTCCAAAACTGCAAGAGTAATCTTTCCGCTTTGTTCTAAGGTGCTGAGAAATTGAACCACCTGGCGAATATATGCTCGGCACTTCAGTGTTGCATCCTGGTAATCAAAATTAAAATAAATTAGAAAAAAAATCACGCCTAGTACTCTTTCCACACTCCATAATATACAAAAGCAGAACATTGCAAATGACAAGAACAGCTCAGAGACACTGCAAAACCAGTGCAACTTACAAGGTGGATGTGACTATCCGAAGATGAACCAAAGCCTGCTGAGATTTTCAGGAGCTTCACTATCAGTTCAGCCGCAGTATCCTTAGCAAGGATAACAGAGGGAGGGTAGTGACTGTTGCAGTAGCTGATGATGCTTTGATAAGACGAAATGCCCACAAGCTGCCAAGGAAGGGAGCTGGTCTGTCCAAGAAGATTGATGAGTGGCGATTCCTGAAGATTTAAAGACATCAGTCTAAACTCCACCTTCTTTGCCATTTTAAATTAATATTCACGGTACTCAATATTGGAAGGAAGCCAAGACTCCAAAATTTGGAGATGGAGCAGAAATAGATGACCACTGGGAGTCTGGCTGAAAAGCAACTCCTCATTCAAGCAACATGTGTATGTCATCTCTAGCATTTACACAACAGTACTTAAACTGCTGCAGCAGCTCTAACTATGCAAAAAAGTCAGTGAGAGACATTAAAATTTGACATGTAAACACAAAGACAGCTAGAAAGAAATGGAGACCTACAAGGTAAAGTTGCTTCAGTAGAGGTTTAAAAAAGGCATTAAAAAAATTATGAAAAAAAAAAATTAATCTAAGTTCACAGTTGAACCAGGTACAGAAGCCTGGTCCCTCGATTTTCCATTCAGTAAATCATCGAGTAACCTGGGGGACTCCTCAAGTGCTTATTCTCGTAAATACCATCCTGAACAGTACGGGAGCCTACAGTATCCACAGCTCACACAGGCAGTGCAAGTATGTAGATGGTAAAGTCTCTCTGTCTACAAGCAGCAGAGAGTCTATCCTCAGCTACTGCCATCCTCCTCCCACAGGTTCGTATACATCTGCAATACAAAAGGGCCCGCCTGGACACTGAGAAACACCAAATTATTACATGTTCTAGAAAGAACAAATACTGTAATTGTGTTGACATCCAACACAACCTAAAGACTTTAAGGATCCAGAACTGACCCAAATTAGACTACATCAACAAGAACGTGACACTGGTACATCAAGTACTTCTCAAGTTGCTCATGCACTGGAACACAGGGCTGAGAAAGTTTGAGATTGAGGTCAAGGTGTCACAGGAACGTTCTGGGAGGTAAAAAACAAGTGATGGCGGCTGTCAGTTTAACACATTGCTGGAGGCTAGGAGGGAATTCCTGAGGCTGACTCATACAATGTGCAAACAGGTATCTTTCCAAGCTTGAGAAGTTTCAGATAAGCAAATACATTCAGGTCAAAGCACGTGAACTCCGGCAATTTTCCAAAACTGGAATACAACGTTGATCAAAGGCTGCTGGTGACAGCTTGACACAGCATCTCCTAATGCCTCAGAGGAAATGGAAAATGGAAGATGCTGCAAGTGGGAGAAAGCTAGCAGATGTGAAATGGGACTTCTTGAAGATTACCCAGCCCCTCTGGAAGAGTCCTCCAGAAGCAATGGGCTGAACAAGACCATGCTAGATTTACCCACACAGAGCTCTCAGCAAAAGCAGGGTTTGGAAAGTTCATCCTAACACCTAGTGTTCTCTTTCCTATTCTAACAATTCAGAAATACTGGAATGCGACTATAAATGGGAAAAGCCCTGAGAAATCAGAGATGATCAAATCCCCCTTCAGAGTAAGGCAACAAGAAAACTCAACCTATGATTCAACAGATGAAGTAATCTGTCCCCAGTAATTCACCAGAAGCAGACATATATCTGCTTATAGATATATATTAAAAATATATCTGGTCTTCAAGATGTTGTTAGACCATTGTGACTTGTCATCACATCATATGTAGTTAGGAGGGGAGCAATTTATGGTAAGAAATACATGTTCGCAAAAGCAGTTCTGAGTAAGTACTGAACAACACTTATAAATAACTCCTGAGAAAACATGTTCAAGTAGACGACTAAATATTTTCCTTTTAGACAGCTATGAAAAACACTACACTCAGATCAAGTGCTGCTCCTAACCTCACAGGGACTAATCCCATTGCTGAGCTGTGCTTAACACAACCAACTGGATGTGTGACCAGTACTGAAGGTCAGGTTGGAAAACATCACAAACATGCACAGTAAGACACAGAGCCAGGCATAAGGTTTTCATAAATGGAATTTGCATAAAATTCCTGACCATCCCTCCACAGATTCATGTTTGCCACTCAGAAAAAGAAGCAAGGAACAGCAGAGATTTACATGACTGACCGTGACAGAATAAATGTGACTCAGTGAGCCTCCCAATTCTTCTCACGGCATCACAGGTGCTACAGACACGAACACCACAGTCCAAGCTGCTCCTGCACCCACATCAGCAGACTGCCTGAATCAAACCGGGCAGACACTAGACACTATTTTCACTCGGACTGTCAGAAAAAGCTTCACCTTAAGTTATACATAATATTGTGCGTGCATATATATATGCACGCACAATACATATGCATCTATGTATAGGTGCACATAACATATACATATATATGCACATGTATTATAGGTGCATATGTAAATTCTTGCTAATACTACCTCTACTTTGCATGTGCTTATAACTAAGGGTCTCCAAAACCAGGCAAGAAAAAAGGAAATGGACATTTTAATTAAGGGATGACCTAAGAGACAAGAAAGCTATACAGTACAGCATCCCATACTTGAACGGAAAGAAATACGACTGCACAGTAGCTTTATACAATAACAATAATTTTTTGAACACTAATGAAAGTAGCATACATATTTGTTCTTTCCAAAACCCAGAGTATCACTTTGTAACTCCAGGAAACTGTATTTATTTGCTTACTCTTTGCAACACTACTGGATCACAGCACATACAGAAGCTTCTTAAAATGAACAGCAGCTCTTCTTTTTTCACACAAGTTATACAAAATGCCTCACATAAGGAATTAGTCTTGGCCATCTCTGGAATACAGTTTGGGTATTTTATTTATGCAAAAAACACTTCCAAGTTAATCATTCTGCAAGTGAGAAAGAAGTCACATCCTGTGCCCTTGCCAGCAAAAGATTATTCTTCTTTTAAGACAGACAGGTATGAACTTTTCCAAAAATTACCTCTTTGCCTGCAAGTTGTTCCTCTTTTGCCAACAGGACCATCATATACAGCAAACAGACAATCATATTGTGAGTCTGAGGATGAGGGTTGGGATTCCAGGCATCAGAGAGGACACTGACCCAGTTTATTTCACATAAAACATAACCCAAGAATAAGAAACAACTCTTGGGGCTGCCTCTTTCAATCTAGGAAGGAAAAAGATAAAAAGACAGGCACATAAAACAATGTAAGATGTAAACACTTTCATACTTGTCAGCTCCTTAGCCAACTATAAACCTACAGCAGCATTTTAGCTCAGCAGAAGAGTAGATAGATGCCACTTCTCCATCATTTTGCTCCCCCCACCAGAAGAGTTGCACATATAACTTTCTAAGCCTCTCAAACAACCAGTACAGAATACCAAGCTACTGCAAACCAGAAAAAAAATAATCTATTTTTAGCACTCTTAGCTGCATGATTGCATCCATTTCTTTTCACTCTAAGAGAAACTAAGAAACTCTAAGCCTGTTTAGAACTCCAAGAAGAACTCATCCCAAACAGATAAGCAGTAAAACCTGAGGCATTTCCACACCTATCTGCAGCTCTACATTGTCTCAGACAACTTGGAAGTAAGAACAACATGGCAATAGTAAAATATATTAACTCCAACTAAATACATATTAAATATATATGTAATACTTGGGACATTCAGATAGAGCGATGACAGATTACAAAGACTGCCAGCTTTACACCTCTCCACAACTTTGTCTAAGACTCAGTAGCACTCCTTCACAAAAATCAATCATAAAATGAGCAGCTGTGAATGCTACAAACAAACTTCAAAAGCTTACTTGCCAAAAGAACTGTCTCCAGCTCTCCAGTTATTTTCAAGGGCAACACCGATCATAAACTTAATTCAACAGATGCTGTGTACTCACTTTAAAGAACTCTTCCATAAGCACCTGGTCTGGATGCATTTCCTTCCATGGAAGCCTTCTGAACTCAGTATGGAAAGTATAGAGAATAAACTCTGGCATTTTGGGAGCTGTGCAACATTCACAGTAATGCATTAGATGTAACCAGAGAGGCCCATGGTGGCTTGGCAACAGCTTATCTAGATTCAAAGATAATGGCTGAATTAACAACAGCAAAAATTCAGGGAAAGCTTGATTATAGAAGGAAGTCCAATTCTGAAGATGAAAAAACATACATGCAATTTACGCTAAAATGTATTTGTCAAAAAAAAAAAAGCACATTAACCTTTTAGATTTTTTTCTCCAAATCAACAAGTGGGGAAGCTTATGATTTCATGCCCTTCCTCGATCTTTTGAAGAGTTGCTGGACAATAATCTGAAGTTATAAAATACTCCTTCTGTGTAGAACTTCATTGCTTTTATGTTGGGTTCTTTTGGTTTTTTTTAAAAAGATCTTATGTATCTCGAATTTTATAAAACACACATTAATGTTATTTTTAATTATTTATTTTTACTTTGAATCTAGCTCATCCCTACAAGTTGTTAAGAGGTATTGTGAAATTAATTTTCTTCCATTCCTACATCTAACTACACATTAGGCACAATAAGCAATGCTAAATAGGAGCTCAGAATGATCAGTTCTGGAAATTACATTATCCCCAAGAATAGCTTTCGAGACACATGTATTGGTCATTGTGACATGCTACTGCGTATGTTGTATGGGAACAACCTACAGACCTGGAATGAAGTCATACACTTCTCATGACAGCTCATTTTGTTTTGCTTTCCTTCACATTAACTTTGTTAACTGACAGATAACGCATTTATCAATCACATTATCTACCCTTGCCAAGGAAAAAAGCTGTCTTTTAAGGATGAAATAAAGAAATGCTCCTGGTACCACTGCAGTGATCATCTTGGTTAAAAAGTTCATAACAAACAAAATCCCCTCACGTCCCACATCTCAGTCAAAAATCTTTTTTTGGTCTGATAGAACAGAAAGTGCCACTACATTAAAATAGCATGGACTTCACCCACCTTTAAAGCTCTCGTGCAAAAGCTTGACGCAATCTGTAAACAAACAGACCACGGTGGATGCTACAGGAGTGTCGCTCTCTAACCAAGGGTAGCAGGGCTGGTTACTTAAAAAAAGAAGTAGTGAAGCAACACAAATTTCAGTGCTGAGTTACCAGACCATAAACAGATCATAAACACTAAAGCATTTTAAATATTCTAAAGCATAGTAAATCAATATAGTACAGGTATCAGCAGTTCTCTCAAACTCAGCTCTCCGACCTTAGAACAGGTACATACTTAATATCACACTGAGGATCCACGACACCCCTGAGTAAGCACAGATTACTTGTTTGATGCTTCATAACTGAATTAAAGACCAAAACACAGGAATTTCTGAATGACAGCACATACTACCTGCAGTCAGCCTTCCAACCAAGTGCTAAAGATGCGCTCACAACTCAAAAAGCTTTTGGTTTTGGAAGACAGTAAAATTTAAATGTGTAATACTACAAATAACTGTCCATGTGAAGACAGAGGTATACAAGACAGTAGATCATCATAGGACTGATTTAGACTGAAGTTTCTTTACATACCACTGGCATTTGGGGTTGTAGTTGTTTGGCTTTTTTGTTTTGTTTTAAACTAAGGCATTATAGATATTGTGGAATCTAAAAAAAAGGAATCTAAAATTCAAATTTCAGTGTTTTGAGAACTGATTACAATCCGTATTTTTCTCATAACCAAGCTCTGGTCAGGAAGCAGAGATATTTCTTGTATCTAAAATAATTATTCAATCCAAGCCTTGGAAAATTTGAATTAGTTCCATAATTATTACGGATATGACACAAGTAACAGCTATTTAAATGGAAGGTCACAATACAGTCATGATTTAGAAAAAAACAGGTTAACAATGAAAGCCATTCTTATAGTGCTGAAGTCCTTACTTTAGCAAAAATTCATTTAATGTTAAAATGCAATATATACCTTGCATCTTCCTTATCCAAGACCAGTATCCATGGTTTAAAGAGTCCAGCAATGACTGAATACAAGGACTGCAATGCTAGAAGAAAACAAAACAAAGAAGTTGCTTTTTTTCCTTCAAATCAGCAGCAGTGAACATATTACACTTTTCTAAACTTGAATACAGCGTCCTTTGCTTAGTCCAACATTTAATCAGTTCTTCCTCATCAAATAAAAATTTAAAATACAATATGCTTATTAGTAACTCTCATTAACAATATGGTGGTTGTAACAACAGTCATAAACATTTTGCATTGCTTAGATGTTTTATTAATATCACTTTAACACATCTGAAATTGTGGGGGTAATGATGATTCACACTTTAAACCTGCATATACTAAAATGGGTTTTGGCGATTTTCTCCAAATCAAAATCACACCGTGATGAAATCCAGTAGTCCCTCATTGCCAAACCTCTGCTCAGTGCAAAAGACTGTATTTTTCTTTGAAGACAGTATGATCTCTTCATAAAATAATTTTAAAGCAAGCTAAAATATAAACAAGCTTCCTCCAGCAAGCATAAAGATAAAGCATAAAGTCTCACATGGCCATGAAGTAGCATCGACATTTCCCATCTGTATTTTAATGTTCCCATCATCATACAAATGCAGATTAAGAAGATTCTACTGTATGTTTAAATGGTCTTTAACAGAGGAAATTAGAGAAACTGAGTGCCTGTTCTTAAGTAATTTGCTTTTAAGACACATTACCTGCTAGAATTCTGTTACTGCCAACAGGCTCTTGGGCTAAATTGGCAACTTCGGTGTCAATAAGTCGTTTAGTAAGATACTCCAGAAATTTATTCACTTCAGCCACATAAGGACTCCATTTTGAAAACAGGCCAAAAGTCCTGAAGTCCATCGAAGCCAGTCGGAGTTTGCGGAAAGATGTGGAAAGCCATTCTATTGTCTCTCTAACCTGTAAAAAGAAGGAAACTATTAATCAGCTACAGAAAGACTGCACAGCAGTGTTATTTGTCACTGGTAGACATCTGTTTCGGCTGGAAAACATAATAGATCAACCAAAGAGGCACCCACCTGTTCTGCAGAGAGGAGAATTTTTGCAGCATCCCGCGATACAGGACTTTCAGTAGAATCACTTTTCTTGAAGCTTCCCTGTTCAGTCACTGATGAACCGCATCCCAAAGCTTCAAGTGATGCCTTCCAACAGTCAGGGCTTAGAAGCTGCTCTGATGAGCCTTAGAAGAAAGAGAAGAGAATACATTTGTGAAAATCAGGAGAAGGATATTAGTCCCTTTCTCAGTACAAGTCAGATGAGGTTGAAATTAGAGCTCCCTACTACATAAAAAAATTAGGTAAGGCAGGAGTTTAAAAGCCCCAAGTTAATGGTGAGAGAAACCTCCAATTCCCAAAGATAAGTAATTTAACATTCCTTTTTGGCATCTACATGCTCTCTTCTTAGAGAGCTTCCCAGGCACTTAGTACATCCCTGGCTACAAACACATATTAAGAGACAGTTGTTGCCTCAGCACATATGGTTTGACAGAAAGGAAGTACTTTCGTTCTCATTTTAGAGGCACATCAGTTTATAGGTAGCATCTAATGTGAACCAGGACATTTTCAGCAGATTTCAGTATCAATCCCAAGTCTCCATAATTCCAGTTCTCAGTTTGACATTAAATGGTGCTCAAGAACAAGGATGCTGCATTAGAGACTGTGGCATAATTATAATTAAGTGCTTCCATTAATAGAAACCTCTCCTCCATCCTTCTCCTGAAGGATGAAAATCTGTTGTCACTGACGCATGTACTTCCATCTGCAGAAGAGTGTTTCTTTCTAGTAGAGCTAAAATACATCTAACAAAAATATATTGCATAGCATGCACGTAAAAGTGCATACAGAAACTTAAGAAAGTTTAAGTCATTCTGTATTTGTTGCTATTTAACTCTACCGCATGCAGTTCATATTTTTAAGCCAGAAGAGTTCTGTACAAAAGGCTTAGTGTATGCACCAATTCAGATACTCACTTTGCACAAACAATCTTAGGAAATCACTATAGTGATCAGGGAACTGATACTGGAGAAGGTTAGTCCAATGCTTGCAGAAGATATTAAATGGCATCAAAATATCTTCTTCAGGTTCAAGGCCACATGCATTGAGAGCCAAGTGAATAGACTCCAGAAGATTGGTACGTTCAGATAGAGGTGGCTTAGCAACACTTAACCATTGCGTAAGGTCAAACTAGAACAGAGGACAGGAAGCATTTGTAAGTAGAAGCTTTAACAGCCACAACACCTTTAGGAGAAGGGAGAAATTGTCAGGAGAAAAAAAAAAAATCCTGAAGTTTTTATATATTTAAGAAAAACCTAATAAATTTGCACCTCATTAGCGCAAACTCAAAACCAAGATAATAGTCTCCAAAGGTTGATTTAGTACATTGCAGAAGTCCCTGAATTTATAAATCAACCCTTGGCAGGGGTTCTCAGATTCATAAATATGTGTGTCAATTTCCAAGCTTCAGTACCACTCCCAAACAAACACTTAGAAGCATTAGACTGGGCTAATCTCCATAGTCCACAAATTTTCAGGTGGAGGCACAAAGCTTTGTAGCCTCTGGGCCATCTGTTCAGACCTAGGTCAGCAAGGACAACGTTCATCATTGCCACTAAGGACAGCTCAGAGTCATGTTCAAAACAGACTGACTGCTATTCACAGCTGTCGAACCCTGTCCATATCAAAGCCTAATAGTAATTTCTCCACTGACAATACAGGTAGACAGTATCATGCAGCTCTGAAACAAGAGATGTGCAAATCACTCGCTCTTACCTAACTCTGTATGTTTTAAGATAGGCAGGAAGGACATTGGTGCCAAACAGAAGTGGAAGACTCAGACACTGTTCCAAATTTTTCTTTTGTTTTGATTTTTAAGATACCTGGAATTCACTGGCTATTTTGATGAATGTCTCTGCAGAGATATCAGGCAGAAGAAGCCATCGAGAACCTGCTTTAATTTCAATAGTAAGAGTGCACTGAAGAGTAAGCCCTAGGAAGCACATACTGATACTATCTGGGCTAGGAAAGGGTAGTTTAAGCTTCCTATTTGCTTTTGTCTCCAGCCCCTCTTGAGCTTAAATACAACACATACCATTCAGGCTGAGCAACACAGATCTATAGAACCTGTCAATGTTATTTTAAAGTACCAGATTTGCACCTCTTTCTTCCTTAGCCTAAAGTCAGGGTCTTTAGGAAAAGAATACCCACAAAAGCAACCCACAAAACAGACGCAAGGAGTACTTTACCTTTGTCAGAAGCATGAAGACAACATCACTGTTATCCTCACTCAGGAAGGCCACTACTTTTTCATATAAAGTCACAAATTCATTGGGAGAGGCAACAGGAGTGAAGTAGGGAGAAAGGAGAGTACAGAGCCTTCGATTCTGCAGGATTGTCTGGAGGAGACGTTTGCATTCTGACTTGGTCCCACTGATGAACACCTGAGGAAATTGGGAATGATGAGAAAAATGGCCCAGTATGATTCTATTAGAAAACTGACCTCTTAAAGCTTTTTGTCGAGACAAGTACAATTTTGGTCCTTTTCTAAAAGGAAAGTTTTCTCAAAAATGACAGACTGTACAAGATCAACATCAACTAAATACTGCTGTTCCACAAGATATAATGTAAAATAAACATGTTTCCCAAGCATGCTTAAGAACAGCGCTTGCGATCACACATGTTGTCTAAAAATACCTAGAAATACAATTTTTCTGATGGGATAGCAAAAGAAAACGAACCCAGATTTCAGCAGCCCTGCCTGATATTAGAAAAAAATGTAAACAGAACTATGGCTATCAAGAACTTTTCAGCACTTCAGCTGTTAGAGGTGCTCAAGGACAGCTGCACATGGGAACAAACTGTATCTAAGAGATGAAAATAAATATCTGAACCCAAAGCAGAGGCTAATGTTTTTTCTCAGAGCTCCCACATAATGCATTCCCCATGGCAAACACTACCAACAGCAACAAGCACTTATGTTCTCTACCAGTAAACTTCTGGCTAGCTCTCTACACAAAGAATACTTAAAGGCTGTAGAAGAGGGGTGTCTAAATACAGAGGTTGACAAGATATACATCAGCTAGAAAAAGCGATCAGTAATAGCAAAACATATGCCAAAACACTCTTTTATGCTCTGGAAGTACCCAAATTTCAGTTACCTGCCCAAAAATCCAGCCTACCTTAGCATTTAACTAACACAGTGAGCATTTATTAGCAGGCATCTCAGAGCTACAGTTTTTATTTTGCTTATATACAAGCTTAGACTCTCCTAAAGACTGTGTATATTTGCCCTGGTTTCAGCTAGGATAGAGTTAATTGTCTTCCTAGTAGCTGGTACAGTGCTATGTTTTGAGTTCAGTATGAGAAGAATGTTGATAACACACTGATGTTTTCAGTTGTTGCTAAGTAATGTTTAGTTTAAAGTCAAGGATTTTTCAGCTTCTCATGCCCAGCCAGTGAGAAAGCTGGAGGGGCACAAGAAGTTGGGAGGGGGGACAGCTAGGGCAGCTGACCCAAACTGGCCAATAGGGTATTCCATACCATGTGGCGTCATGCCCAGTATATAAACTGGGGGCAGTGGGAGCGGGGGATCGCCACTTGGGGACTAACTGGGTGTCGATCGGTGGGTGGTGAGCAATTGCACTGTGCATTAGTTGTGCATCCCAATCCTTTTATTATTACTGCTGTCATTTTATTAGTGTTATCATTATCATTATTAGTTTCTTCTTTTCTGTTCTATTAAACCATTCCTATCTTAACCCACGGGTTTTGCTTCTTTTCCCGATTTTCTCCCCCATCCCACTGGGTGGGGGGGCAGGTGAGTCAGCAGCTGCGTGATGCTTAGTTGCTGGCTGGTGTTAAACCACAACAATATTACACAATTAATTGAAAAGAACAGTTGAAAGGGATAGAAGGTTAGAAGTTAATTTTCAGGCTTCTGAATGTTTTAGACCACCAATATCAACAGGCAATTGAAATAAGCATTAGGCATCCAAAAATCAGAGGATAGACTCACTTGGCCTAGAATCTCAACGCAGGACGTGAAGAACTGCCTTGTGGGAGGATTGCGTTGAGTTTCATCACACACATATTCCACTAACATAAAAAATAAACTAATTCCAACTTTCTTAATTGCAGGCATAGGCTGCACCTTGTAGATATTTATTAAGGCCCTGAAAAAAAAAAAAAAAAGCAGAGTAAATTTACACATGGAAAATAATATGCGACAATAAAGAAAGGTTTCTTGCCAATATATAGCCTTGAGATGGATATTTCTGGCTCACATGATCATCAAGCATGGGTTCACAGAATCACAGCATCGTTGAGGATCTCTGGACCAAACCCGCCCTACTCAAGCAGGGCCACCTACAGCTGGTTGCCCAGGACTATGTCCAGATGGCTTTTGAGCATCTCCAAGGATGGAGACTCCACAACCTCTCTGGGCACCCTGTGTCATCCCTCACAGTAAAAAAGTGTTTCCTGATGTTCAGAGGGAACCTCCTGTGTCTCTGTGCGCATTGCCTCTGGTCCTGTCACTGGGCACCCTTGAAAAGAGCCTGGCTCCATCTCGTTTGCACCCTCCCTTCAGGTATTTCTACACATCGATGAGAAACCCCTGAGCCTTCTCATATCCAGGCTGAACAGTCCCAGGTTTAGCTCAAGTCATTTTGCTGCCTGAAACGGGTACCTCCAAACCTTAGAAAGTCTCCATAATCAGAGTCAAAAAGCGATCATCAAAAGATTTTTCACAGCATAGTTCCAACAGATTATTTCTCCCTCAAATCATGTGTTCAGCATGTTCTTAGGCCGTCTCAACTACATTTGTACTGCAAGAAAATTTACCTCATTTTACTTAACAGGCTCAGCAATAACAGAATTAAAACAGAATCAATCTTTTTTTTGTGCATTGCCAAGTACATGTTTTATTGAGCTCAAACCCCCATCTTCACTGAGTCTGAATTTAAACATCTGAAAAACATTCAATTCAACAGCTCTAAATCCCAAGAACTAGCTCATCCAGAGTTTTTCAAATTAATGATCAAGAATGAACGTGTAGAAATAGTAACCAAATATTTTTACTTGTACAGTGAGTACACTCTGTAGGAAACCAACTACACTAAAAGAATCCCAGCAGAAATCTAGAAGATTGAGAAGAACGGTGTTGCAAAACTGGACCTCTGGGATGAACTCTAAAAGGTCTTCAAGAGGAAGAGGGTCTTGGACTAGTCCATTTATTCACACAGACCCCAAAAAGTACTATCATATAATCCTCTTCCACTGCACGGTTTTGTTTCACACATTGAAAACCTACCTCAAATCATAGCTCTCTACTAAAGAGCTACGTCCTGTACTATAACAGGGAAAAACCTACAGAGATATTAAAAGCATAGTTTAGCCTATGGCTGAGACAGCTGTGGTACAAGTTTGCCACTTCCTAAAGTTTAACATAGCATCCCTGTCATCCTGTTTTGCAGGGTTAGAAGGGCTATTCTAATATACAGTACAATAAACTGAAGTAGAAAACAATACTGTGTGCCCTGTTGAGGCTGAATGACCTTCTGATGATACAGTTATTCCTTTAGAGGTCTATGTCACAAACATACACGTCTCGGGATTCCAGCTCCGTTGTTGACCCAAGCTGACAAGCATTACAAAAAACACAAACAGGTTCCACATTTTAACTCTAACATATAAAAAAGAAATACAAAACATCACTACCTAAAACAGTGTCTGAACAACCTACGTTATAAAATTTTCCACATGTACTGCTGCTTCCACAACACCCAGAGAAGGTGGCTTCGTAGCTTCTGCCTGCAGTTGTCTCACTTCTTTACGCAAAGCATGAAGCTGCTGGTTCACTGCTTCATTTTTATGTTTCCCTTCAAACTAAATGACAAAAAGACACATTCATTTCAGAGTAATTCTAAAATTCTTCTATGTTGCACCTATTGGTAAAAATGAAGCAGAACCCAGTAAGAAAATTCAGAATATAGATGGTTTTCCCCGAGAGCTTTGAGCAGATTTACTATATCATGCCCAAGCACACATCCTTGGTCACGTTCCTATTTGATTATCACACAGTAATTTAATTCACATCTTTTACGTAAGACTTTTAATCCACAGGGACTGAAACTTAGAGGGGAATCAAGAAATTCATGTACCAAGCAACATGGGAATATTTCTATAAAAATTTTCATGCTTCTATTCCTATCAGTGAGCATATTCATACATCCACACATTGGGAAGCAGTTTAGAATAGATGCTATGAGCAAAACAAACTTTATGTGACAAGTTATTCTTCAGCCTTTGATCTGCATCTCCTTTTGAGCATTACATACTAGTTATTTCAGGTAACTATTATATGTGTATGGATTTATTTAGTCAGCTGCTACCATTCTTGTAACCATTCAGCCATTTCACTTTCATTATCCATGTCCAACAGCCCTGAAATAGAAGTGATGCCATGTCTCCAACCTGGATGGTTAGAAGAGCTGCTCCCTGACAGCCTTTATTTGAAGTTCCCCGGCACTCCAAATGGAGGGTGATCTGCTCTTCCCGATTGACATACAGCTTAGGTACCGCGTCCAATATTTCACTATTAAGAGCAACATGCTGAGATTCCCAGAGAGCTGCAATTCTGAAAAGCATTCATTAATAAAGTTAGCAAAACCTTTACTGAAAACAGTAATGCTAAGAATTTATAAGCAAGAGATGAGACGTCAATTTAATGTGCTGTAAAAAAAACTTGTGACACTTTCCTAGAAAACATAAAAGGCTATTAAATGAAATTGAGTTAAAACTTCAAAGTAGTAGCACTTCAAAGTACTAAAGAAATAGGTTTATAACTACAAAACTACTCAAGTCTGCGTGAATTTTTTAATTATTCTATATGACAACCTGGAAGGAAATCAAATAGATCACCCTCTGTAGGAAATGCAATTTTCCACCAGACAAAAAAAGCTGGACTGTGGGATGATTCTGTCATCAGAAAAAAGCCCACTTAAAATTGCTGCTGGAATTGTTTAGACACATCCTCTCTTGGGCTTAGCAAGTTTTGGTTTGGTTTATAATATCGTTATTAAATGACTACATTGGGTGAGAACAGCTATAGATTCATCAACTGTGTTTGCAAATAATTCAGCTGGATTCTCTTAGTAGGAATATTAAAAACAGAAAGTCTCTCTCACTCACAAAGCTAATAGTTCCAGAAATCAGATTTCTCTCTTAGGGGCTCCAGTACTTCGTATTGCAGCTACTACATTAGTGCGAAAGAGTTAACTAACTTACTGTCAACAAATCTAGGCTAAAGGGAGGCTTCATTTTAAGAAGCATGCCAAATGAGAAAAGAAACTGTAGAAGTTAGATGTTAGCTAATGTAATGTCAGTCATTAGATAAGACTTGTGTAGTCTTATCTTAGTTAAAGGAGTGAAATAACAACATGATAACCAAGAAGGAAAAAAAAAAAACGCGACAAGAAGCAGAAGCCAAGTACTGACAGCCTTGTGCCAACACCACAAATGAGGCTGCTGCAAAGGGCACCTGAAGACACTGCTAGACGTGCTAGTGAGGCAGAAGGAAAACAGCTATGTCTTACTTGGCATGTCGCTGCAAGATGTTAAGGTCCATGCGCATGAGCTGAATTGCTTCTTTCTGACTTACTAGACTGGCAGAGGAAATAACTGGCACAGGAGCTTTCATCGTCTGGAGCGGAAGAGGGGGCTTGGGAGTATCAAACTTCTTCAAATTATTCATTATCCTCTCTTTGGCTAGAAAAGAAACCAGGGCTTCAACATACTTAATAATTCTTTCTGACCCAGTTTCATTAACAATATTCTTAACTCTTACCTGATAAAGGGTTGATGAAATCTGTTTGACCTGCAGAAACACAAGTTGTATGTGATTCAAGCTGAACTTGCAGCCAAAGGTTTAGAGCTTCCTGAAACTCATGGCGTATGAGTTCAACATTGACATACTCCATCCACAAATCCTAAAGCACAAAAGAATTAAATTAGCATTCCCATTTTGGCCAGTACCATATACTGTGCATCCATCCAGTAGCTGGGTAACTAAAATAAGTACATAAAACTAGACCCTGCAGTTTTAAACCATAGGAAAATTATTATTATTGGGGGGGGGGGGATCTATATTGAAGAAAAAAGCTGCAGAATTTTTATCACATATACAGATAAGCCACTGAAAAGCATTTGTGACACTTAGAGAAGAAATCAGACAAGCACACATGGTATAATTTCTAACAAATAAGAGAAAGGGTACAGATTATTAAAACTTTGTTCCTAAAGAAGAAACACAGAGGAAACCAAGACAGTCTAAAACATCATGGCATGATTTAACTGTAATCAGGCTAAAGCAGGACTGCAGGAATGGAAAAAAAAAAACGGAGGCGGCATGCCCTTCCAAAAATCTCCCCCCTCAGATGTTTTTTTAATTATACTAACTCTTTAGGTTTACTGGACAGAATAATATACACTTCCCGCTCGCTAATTTATATTTGAACCTGACATATTACAGACTACCGATATGAGCAGATTTTGACTTCCAATATTCTGTCACTTAGAGTTCCAATTTCAATAATTCTCTAAAACCGTCTTAGAAAATAAAAAGAATTACAGAACAGTACAGAATAAGAACTGTGGTCTCATTAAGATAGGCAAGAAATCTATTCATGAGTCCTCGCTCAAACATAAAGGAAGGCAGTTTGGGATAGCACAGGATTTTTACGAAAAAAGTTAGAGCTGTGAAGGTATCATACATGCTGTATGTATATTAAAGACCAGTGATACCAAGTCTCTCGCTACTTTGGAGGACCCATTTTAATGAGTGAAGTGAATCTGGGATCCCAGATTGGCAGTGTCATTAGCACTTCACCTGTTGATTCTGCATGACTTTAGCAAGTCTATGTGCATCATATTGCTTCGGTAAAGAAGGAATGTATGTGTCTCCTTTCTGGAAACTCTCTTCTTCCAACCACAAAACAAAAACATTACAAAGCCTGAGGAAAAAAAAAAAAAAAGGAAAAAGTAAATCAATGTGAACTTTAATTCTATGCACAGCACGTATTACACAGCAGTCTCATTCTGGGGTTTAGCGTTAAGGCAACGAATAATGCTACAAGGTGACATGGCTCAAAACGTAGGTGTTTCAGATGTTTTGTGATTAGTTTACCAAGTGTCAGTTCAAAGACCAGCAGTGAAAAGAAGCTATTTAGAAAAATATGAAGGGCAATAACAAAGATTAACAGGACAAATTTTGAAATGGAAAACATTTATGCAAATTAGCACATGAGCCAGGACTGGAATAGTCTCTTATATCAGGGAACCTCATCCACAATCCCATTTGAAAGACCAAAGTCAAAACAGCACATTTGAGCAAGTTTGGCTTCTCACCCCAAGACTTCTCTAGAATGCCCACTCCAAAAGGTCACACCTGAGTTGAATTACATCTTTCAATTTATTTTCAGAGTCAAATTCACAGCTAGTTTATTCACATTTCCTCCTCTGCTAACAATGTATTTTAACATAAATATACCTCTTTCTTCAACTGGCATCATTCTACTGAGTGGTACCCTTTTTATAACCATACCATCCAAGCTTTCCTGACAAGGAAGAACTAGAATGCCATTAAATCTTCACACTGTGGGATCAAATATCATTAGCAAACTCCTGTTTTCTATATCACTGTCATTGGTGAAAAAAATGGAAGTAGTCTAGTTCCAAGAATCAGTCTTTATGAACTCTACCAATATTTTCCCTCCTGTCTAGGGGGTCATTAAACATCCTGAGCATAAGATTTCCTTAGCTGTAGAGCAGTCTGGTTTTATGTTGGAGTAGGGAACTCCTCTGAAATGAAAGACTGAAAATATTAATGAAGTTACACCCAGTGAGCATCTCTGGATTATTTTTCACAAATGACCAAGGAGGATTTATGATCTCCCTTGTTTGTTTTTACAGTACCTACTGATTGCTGGGGGCAGAGCAGGGGGGACCACTTAAAAGCAGCTCAGATCCCATATGCCCAAACCCCCTGAACAAGGGACTCCTTCCAAATAATCCTTTCAACTAGTTTCTGGGAATATTCAGATACTGTAATACTGCAAATATTTCTTAAGGTAGACTTCTCAGACCAAAAGCCTCTGTGTAACAGAACCACGGACTTCTGAACAGCATAGCTACAGTTTCAGTGTGCATGAGGTACGTAGCTCTCAGAAGTTACCACCCCTTACAAAAGTGAGCGTTCATCAGCTGAGTCGCAGTAAGTGACCATGCCCACCTCCTTAGTCTACTCTAACACAAGAAGAGAGTCTTCTGCTAAGGTTTTGGTTAAGCACACATATCACTTTCCAGCTGGCACATAACACACTTGTCGCAGCTCAACTTTAGCATGCTAACTGGGTAAACTGCACTAACTGAAACGTGTTGAAGTCCCCAGTAAATTCCCTGATGAAGTAATCTTATTCAGACATAAATTTAGGCCCTGGTCTGTGACAAACAGATGTATGCACACAAAGTAGCATTTTACATTTATAGCTAGTGACGTACATACCAGTAGCAGATACGTCTACACAGCAAATATTTTACCAGCATGGGGATATCATTAATTAAAAACACAAAGCTCTCCCCTAAGGCAGATGTTTTATTTTTAGTAGTAAAATCAGCCCCCTCTCAAACAAAACAAGTTATATCAACAGAGGAACGGATTTGACCACAACTATACATATACCAAGTGCCCGCAGTACATCTAGGTCAGCCAAGGGTCACATCCCTTAACGCCTCCCACAGCTAAGCCTGTGCTCTAGTAGTCGCTCAGGTGGTCGCATTGAGTAAGATTGAACTGGGCAGGCTTTTTTTTACCTGACAAGTTCCTTATGCAGTTCTGGTGAAGTCAGGTAATCTGCTGAGCAGCTTGCCTTCTCCGGTGATCCGTCACTGCCCTCTGCAGGACTCTCTACTCTTAGTGCTTTACTGGCAGCATGGTGGAAGTCTGCTACCTCTATTAGCCGCTGCTTCATTTCATTTAGTAAGTTAACATGAGCTGCGCTCTGGAAAAAACGTCTTCCAATACAGCCATCTACAGGTAATCTAAAAACGAACAAAGAAAGGACAACAAACTCTTGTTGCAAGTATCAAATCAGCATCTCTGCAAATAAATTGACTCTTTAAAGAAGCTGCTGGTACCCACTGCTTTCAGGTGCAGTCTTAGTGTGAGGCATTTAATCTCACTTGCAGTGCAAACTTATTAGTGCTTGCTAATCTGCTAGAGCCCTTATGATCAGACTCACCCATATTGTGGTCCTGGTCGGTGAAGGTAAAGGAGGAAGAATTTCTGCCAGATTAGCGGCATGAGAGGGTGGTCAGCAGGGGTAGCAAGGGCTTGGTGAGCCCAGCGGTAAATCAGGAGCCTCTGAAGGGATGGTACGATGGGCAGCTTCAGCTGGGTCTGTGCTTTCTGCAAAAAGAACATTTTCAGATGAGTGTTCTGCTGTGGTTCCCTGTAACAGGCTGTCACAGGTTAACTTAACAGATTAACACAGCATGAAAACTCAGCAATTACAGAGGAGAAAACTTTGGAAATATTCACACATCTGTTACAGGTCTTAGAGGAAGAGCTGCCCTGCTCAGCTATGTTGGACAGCTGTTAGAGAACAATGCTACACCTCTGATGCTTAAAAACAAACAATAAATAGCATGATGGCTCTGTGGTGCCAAGCCAACATATGAGCCATTGGTGTTAAATACAGTTACTGTTCTTCCTCACAGAAGTAGAAGTTCCTAGTTTAGACTTCCATAAGACTGGTGATGTTAGAGAACAAAGCAGCAATAGTGAAGCACAGGGCACATTCCAACTGGTAAAAATAACAGTCTTAAGCCACATGAGGACGCAGAGTCCTACAGTGTGCCACTTTTAGCTTTTTCCAGACTACATTCCATACAGGCCTATTGAAAATCTAAAACAAAATAAAACTAATGTGAAGAAAGAATACAGAAGGAAACAAACAAAAAAAATCTTCTTTCTGCAAAAGCAGAACGAAGGCAAAGCAACGTATGAGCAGCAGCACTCCCTATTAGCAAATTGGAACGCTACTCCACGGACCCATTAAATCATTAAGAAGTCAAACACCAAGCTCCCACAGACTGTGCCTGAGGCAGGGGAATGGGAGGCTTTTCTGAGTTCCCAAGTCTTAGTGCAGACCCTGGCACTACCTCATCCCACACACTAGACCTTGGGAACCCTCAGCACCCTTTTCCACACACTACCCACATACTATCTCACTGTTTTCTAGCTAAATCGAGACATGCAAGCCCAGGGGCTAATGTTCTCCAGACTAGTCTCCAAGGATGAAAGACATGTATTAGTCTGGACATAGCCCAAGCAAACCTATTTTCATAGAGCTTCTAGACTACCTTCTTCATTAAAACACACTGAAAAAGTTGAGATGAAGGATGGGCCAAAAGTTACACTTCAAGACTGGACAGCTTTGGTTTCCACTTGCTTCATTCCAGAATTTCTAACTGAATTTGGGCAAAGAACCTGGAAAATGCTGCAACGTGGCTTAAAGCACACCTGACTAAGTGCCTTGTTAAGGGAAAGACCTAAATAGTTCTGAAAGTCTTGGAAAATAATTCAGCAAATACAGAGAAAAGCAAAGCCCAGACTTCTGCAAAATTCAGAATATCTGAGAAATGCTCTTTGAAATATAGACACGTTTTGCCACCTGTAAAATAAGAGTATCTGCACTCCCCATCTCAGTGGTATAGAATAAATCCACTGAAGATCATAAGGCATTCAGATAACCCAGAAAATCATGCAAGAGCACTAATTAGTGACTGAAGTTTTCTGTAAATAATGTTATATTAAAAAACAGATACTTGCATGGTAGTTTTTAAGTGTTCAACTCAAAATGTAAAAGCAAACTTCCCTGAGATTTATTTTCCCCTGGAAAGCCAGATAAAGCATTAGTTATGCTTTTATCCTGATAAGAAAAAGTATGTAAGATAAAAACTGAACAATGCAAGGGAACACTTTTCTCCAGCAGTTCTCGCTCATAAAAGTGGATGAACAGTTCTCTCACCTTCAAAGCTTGATCAGGAGTTAAAGCATTAATAACCAACTCCCCCTCAACAACTCTGCGAAGCTGTGAATCTTCTTCAAATATTGACTCCATATTTAACACCATCCATGAAAACCAGACCTGTACAACACAGTAGTAACAGAAATATTAATTAACAAAATGGCAGGGGTAGGATCAGGAAGCTTGCTGTTTTCTTAAGAGGAACACATTTTTGCCAGAAACTCATTACAAAGTTGCAAAAGCAGTAACAATATCTGAACAAGAAAACTGAAAATCAGTTTCCTCCTTATCTACACTCAAACTTTCCCTGTGTATTTTGTACAATCTTGAGAAAGAAGGGGGAAACCAGGGACAACTGACAGAATTATCCAGAGAGTTCTGGAGAAAACAACCTACTCAAATGCAGTAAAATAAGATCTCCTCTCTCCCACCTGCACTACACATTTCATTTGGGGTACTGCAGGTTTTTTTTCTTTTTGCTTGAATAAGGAACTTGCTTAAGCAGAGAGAAAGCAACTAGTATTCAAAATATTTAACAGATAAAGACTGATTAACAGAAAAGTCAGGCTTTACGTATTTTCTGTCATTAAATATATCGAGAACAATTGAAGATTAAAAGAAATCTTAACTAATAAATCCTATTATATGGATTCTTGGACACAAATCAGACAAACTCTCTCTGTGCAAAATGTCCATGTTCCCTTTAGTGTAATAAACCCACAGTATTCTCTTAGGCTAAATTAGGATTTTATCGCAAGAAAACTCACAAATACTGGGATAGGAAGAACGAGGGAACAAGAAAAAAATCTGCAAAAACCTGTGAAAGAAGAAAAAACAAACCCCAAACCCTAGACACCTGAATATTGCTTATCCCAGGGTTGTTCATAGAACACCATCATACCACTTACCTGAGAGGAATTAGCATTGCCCTCAACAAAGGAAGGTGTCACATTGCCTGCCACAATCCAGCTAACAAGCGAAGACAGCAGACCTTTGTCACAATGATAGCCCAAAGCATTCTGCACGGAAACAGAAAACATTGGGGTTTTTATTGTAAGCAACCTAACAGATGATTTACAAGCTACAGACTTGTCACTCTACCTTCATCCAGGTTCCTTTCTGCCTCACATTGCTACTTCCCAACCTTAGCTCAGCCAGTCACCACCGAAACGCCTGCTTGTACTTCATGCCTTTCTCAGTGAAAATATTGTTACAGTGACAGTGTTTGTTTTTTCAGTGTCTATTTTTGTTCTAAATGCACTATTGAACATTTGAAATGCAAAGATCACAAACTAAAATAATATGATAGAACTCCTATGAATGAACCTGTGTTCCAAATGGTTTTAATTATTATTATGCTTAAAATATCAGGTTTCATTAATCTTGACCTACTCAGAAACAAATCAGATAACCCCATTATCACTTATCATCATGACTGTTGTTGTTGCATTTCAGAAAAATATATTCATATTAAAATTAGAATGAGCAACACATGAACTGACCATTTACTCAATAGCTACACCGGTACACCACAGCTATTTACCTTGTGTTGTTGGTAAAGCAGCTTTTGTACACAGTCCTCTTGACTGTACTGAAAGGCAGCTTTACATAAGTCATCCAACAAGAAGAGTGTTGCCCGGTCCCTGTGCCACAGCTGCTGGCTGGTGAGGACCTGAACCCAGAACTCCAGTACTGCAGCTGGCCCCACTCCATTTGGCTGGTCACTTAGGAAAATGTGAGTCTGCCCAATTAAAGGGTAAAATTATTCAAGAGATTGCAGCTTCAATTAAAGCTTAAGAAATTATTGAAGAACTGTTTAAATTGCATAAGGCTGTGGGCCTATCCTTAAAATAAGTAGTTTACAACGATGCTCTCGATGCTTATGTAAAAACAGCTTTGCATCTTCTATCTTCAAATTTCTGCAGATTCTGCAGCCTGGAGAGCTGCAGATTGTACCAAAAACAGACCAATATCATCAAAAACAGACACAAAAGCCATAAGTGGGATCCCTGTGACCTGCAGGCATAATGGCACCTATTTCTGAAGTGTAACCTGCTGTTCCTGCAAAAGGACTTCCCAGAGCATGTCCATTTCCCTCTCTAACTTAGTGGACCTTGGCTCTTGACCTCCCTGCACTTCAAAAAAATACTGTTCCCTAACACAGGAACATTTTTTCATACCACAGCCATAAATTAATGGTCAAAAGCAAAGCTTTCAAACATTAATATATCTGCTGCATTCCTCAACTAACACAAGCAAGAAAGTAGGGCTGCATATTACAGTCCCTTTTTAGGCAGTTTTGACCTGGTATTAGAAAATGTGCTTTCCAGGAAGTCTGGAAGGCACATATTGTTGTCATGTCCAGTGTCACATGCATTGCCAGATTTAGGCAAGTTTAAGCAGAAGTATTTCAGGAAACCAAACTCAACTATTTCTGCTTGATGCAGGGTACTCCGTGGCTGCACAACTGCCAGATTCAGTATCCTTTCTAACCTTCAACACTAACTCAGTCAAAAAAGCCAACCTGTTTTTCAATCTCCCCGAGATTATTTTATTTTTTTTAAATAATCTTCTTACCTGTATCATACTACTGAGCAGCTTAACATTTTCTCCATAGCTCACACTTGTCAAGTGCTGTGTTACTTTATGGGTAACCTGCTGGGTCATGCCTTGGGGGACTCCACTATCCAGATGAAGGAATAGTTGGATGTAAGATAAAAACCTAGGGATGTCAACAAATTAAATTAATTCTAAAATTTCTCCTACTGCATAATATACAGAAAACCTGCTTCTAGAGAATTTAAAACCAGCTCAACAGCACTAGTGACACCCACATACAAGGACTCTGATTCACAACCATGCTACAGATTTAACCATATCATAGGCACAGTATGAGCCGTTCATGGCAGACTGTAATTCAATGCAGCTCATCAGGACTGAATAAAGTTCCTGATCCACATCAGCATCCAAATCTAGCCCAGGAACCGTTTGGGACACTGCCAGGTGGTCCAAGCCAAAAGCACCCCAGGGACCACATTACTAAAGGACCAGGACAGACAGCTGAGGTCCAGCACTTGAGAACACTCCCAGTTGTTGCTCAACTTACCAAGAGTGACACAGTTAAACAGTATTGCTGCTTGTCTTTCTCATTCACCTGAATACAACAGTTACTTGTAAATACAGCTGTCTGAAGGCCCCTTCTGCAGTGCAGCAGCAGCAGCAACGACTGTACACGTGATGTCAGTAGGACACGCTTCTACAACTACCTCCTCAACCACAGTCAGTGTCAAAAAGTAACTCGGCAAACAAACCAGATGTACTTCCCCATCATCTGCGTCACATTCTCACCAGATGCAAAACCCAGAATGAAGTCTGATAAGATTAACTTCCATTGTTCTTTATCAATAAACATATTAGGAACGTATAATGCTTACTGTTCATTCTTCAGGAGATAATACTGGCAAGAGTAAAATAAGGGTAAAATTTTATCCAGTACATGGACTACTGTTCTCAGATATCTAGACTGGATGAGTACAGCCAGAAGAGGGATCCCTTCAGCACAGAACTTCTCAATGCTGTAAAAAAGAGAGAGAGAGAGAGAGAAACATATTGACTATCAGCAGAAAGGGAGACAAAGTGTTGATATTTTTTTTGTGAACTGAGATGTAAAGACATTCGTATCCTTACACTTGATCTTTGAAATCCTAAACAGCTAAATCCACAGGTTTTTCTTCAGCTATAGGAGTCATTCAATTGCTGACAGATTTGGTATTTCCTGCCCTTCTGGGGAGGTTGTGTTCTGTCCTCCAAAAATCACTGGAGATGGGGGTCTTCAGCCATGAAGCCTCAATCAATTTAAAGCTCAGTGTTCTTGCCTAACCTAACCAACCAGGCTCTCCCTCCAGGCAAAGAAAGAACCTACAGAGGGAGCTTCATATTATCTAGCTTTGACATCTCCTCAGCATGGATGATGCTCTGGACATCTTTCTTCACTACCTATAGATGGAGCTCAGAGGGTTTCCTTAAAGTAGGTACTTAGGTGGTTGCAGTCAGCTGAATCCTACTCTTACTGTCCAGAAAACTCACTAGCATCAACTTATTTGGTACTTTGCTCTGCATCAAGTTTTGCTAACCGAGGAGGGTTGCACATTAGGAAAAGATGTAAAACATTAATCCTATGTCTACTCTGAGATCATGAAAATGAAATATTATATTAAGTCACTAGCATACAGTACAGCACTTTGTTTCTTAACATAACTGGCCTTGAACTTTTGCATGTGATAAATATCAGTGTTATTGTTTAGACAGGAGAAGGATGTCAAATGGTTCTTCACAAGGCCAAAGCGGGGGCAGGGGGGGAAACCAACACAGGAGTAAAGAGGTTCCTTGTTTTTTGTTCCATGCTCAAAAGACATGTAAACATTTCCATTCTCAAACCAGTATACCTTCACATCAGTCTCAAATTACTCCAGTGCTTTGAAGACGCGCTTATGTATCTATGGCATAACCTCAGCATCAAGTAATGGCTTGGGGAAGGAGAAGAAAGCCAAGACAATTTCTCTTTAAAGAGTAAAGCAGTATTATATGCAGAAAACAAGTTAGTGAAAATTTTGAATAGAGTAAGAGATAATTAAAGAGATCACAGATTCAGGGAAAACAGACCTGGGAGAGATTAACCTACCCGTGGGTCTATACCTTAATCAACTAGTACATTTGATTATGTCCAAAGCTTACCTACAAACCAGCTGAAAGCACTGGAAAAGACTGTTGGAACACAGTCAGGGCTAGGAGGTTCAGTATCAAGGTCATAAAGGTCTCTATCATTACCAGCATAAGTGGGGGTTTTTTTTCTCTTCACTATTTTCTGAATGGTCTACTTCAGCCCTGCTAAAAAAATTACCTGTAGGACAACCCTTTCAGTAAGTGTGGTTAAAAGTTATTCTTGTCCATAGCAATCATGCTAACCCCTCAGTTGCAATACTATTTCTAATGACTATTCTGACCCTAACACGCAGAAGGCAAAAAATAGTATTAGCAATATAAAGGAAATGGCACATTGTTCAAAACTACAGTCCCCAAAAGACTGCTCAGTCCCTTGCATCTGACGTCTTTTATTCTTTAAACGTGCATAAAGATGTTAATAGCCCTCAGTTCATCATTAGGTAGGCTGCTCAGTCACTGGGGCCATGCAACCAAGACAAACACGAAAAAGCACGCTTACCTGTGACCTAGCGTGGTCATTGCCAGCGCCAGATAACAGCCGATAGGGATGCTTGCTTTGACAGCCTTCAGGAGGGGGTGAAGCGTGACCAACTCTGTCATGTCGAGCACTCTGTCAGACACAGGGACTGCAGGCCAGCCGTGCTGCATGCCACAGTCATTTCTGTGAAGCTTTAACCTCAAAACCAAACCCCACGCCCACTGATTAAAGGAAGTCTCCGGTGTTTCTCCGTAACGAACAATGCTGGCTAAGTAGGAGACCTGGAACAAAGCAGCAGGAACAGGAATGAGAGGAAGCACAGCCATATTACAGCATATATGGCACTAGTCTAGGACTTGGGTCAGCTTGTATGAGTTTCCTCTTCTGTCACAATACCGTGACACAAGATCAGAGCAGCAGCAGTTAGTTTTCAGACACACCACATAGCACCACCAATTAAATTTGTCTGAAATCTCTGTTTCTATGGCCTTGATTTCCACAACCCTCTCCCCCCGCACCCATCCCTTTTGGTGAAGGCTATCAACCTATACTTGTTTGGCTAAAGTTTTCCAAACTAGATATTGGTCTCAAATTAAATTTTATTTTTACTATTTAAAAAAAACCCACACACAAAAAACCCCACACACAACCTTCAGTAATGTTTAAGACTGCTAGTGAAAGGAATACAAAAGATATATATGTACAAAAAAACATCTGTCAAAAAAAGTCTAAAACCTGGTAGCCTCTCCTTAGAAAGAACTCTGTAACGTGGACAGGCAGAGTCTCTGCGTCATGTACATGTGTCCATTATCATAAAAACCCTGTCCAGATCAGAAGGAATTACAAATCTTTGGGAAAAACTATTATACATGCTCTGACCAGTGTAAATTGCAGAGCTGGGAGTCAGTGCAGATATTTCATTCTCTCCAAGTGGGGCTACAAGAATCTAAGCATTATTTTCTCTCAAATTCCAGTTACAAGCTCACGCAAGTCAGGACAGATTCACCAATAAAAGTGGTAACCAAGGCTGAAATATGCTTAAAAAGATAACTCATCTAGCTGGCACAAGACAACAAACCATGATTTAAGAAGTGCAGAGAAGCAAGTCAGAAAAGAGCAGAGACAATAAGGAACATTCAAAGTGGGGGAAGAAAAGACTGGGGAAAAAAAGCACAGAGCAGGAGGGGAGGAGAAAGCACTGTACAAGAAATACTGAGAAGACAAAGCACAACACAATGCTAAAAGCTCTGAATAAATAAATAGAGGCATCTTGGACTGAATATCCAAAAAAGGCATTTTTAACCTTGATCTTTCTATCCTTCCATTCCCCTTCTGTAACTTGGAGCTATACCTTCCTCAGTCACCAGTGTGCTGTAAAATCAATGTAATAAATGTTTGTACAGTGTTCACATAACACAGCACCGATCACTACTGAAAAGCTCCTAAAATCTTGAGTCTTTAAATAAGGTAAGACTAAGAGCTGGAGGCACAGGAAGGATGTCTCTTATGTTCACCAGTAATAGTAACTAGCCTTTGATTAAGCAAGTACTGGCCAACTCTGCGTGAGTAAAGGATGCTTTGCAAGAACAGTTTGCAACTATCCAACTAGAGGCTAGATAATAATGCAAACCTGCAAGGGGACAAATTTTAAATTTCTATTTCTCATATAGATGTTCAACATAAGTCTAACAGTATCTTCAAATAGGTTTGTGGGTGCAGCAAAAACACTGAGTTGGTATATTATGATGTTCTAGTAGTATCAAGATAGTATAGCTTTTACAAAGAAAAAAGAAAACAAGGTCTTGGCCTGAAGTTTATCCTATCTATCACTATCAATAATCTATTCCCTGTAATTCTGAAGAAGGAATACCTGTTTTATGCTTTCAGAAAGCAGCCCAGCATATGGTTTCTGGGAGAGATATTTCTGATACGCTTCCAGGACCATCAATGCAACTTCAGAATGGACAGCTGGATCCAGATGAAGAGCATCCTGCTAAAAACAGAATTGCACAACAACTTTGCCTCATTTAAAAGGTCTCTACAACTGTATCATTCAGCTGCACTACAGAGAAATAAATCTTAAACTGAAGAGCCAGAAAGAGATTAAGTATTGTCATACCAAGGCAAAATCTTGGCCAGTGAGAAAAATCTCAGGCCAACATTGAAGAATAATGAGCTCACACTGGGCAATACAAAGCTCGACAGCTAGATTATTTCCAGAAAAAAAAGGACCATAATCACTTCTCATGTGCATTTGGTGGATTTATAGAAATTAATCAAAAAAAACATAGATGGCATTTTAAATTACATAGTACAGACACTGGAAATCTTTCCTTTAAAAAACAAAACAAAACCAAAAAAGGTATCATGGTCTTTTTGCATCAAAACACAGTAATTCCTCTTATCAATTGCCACATTAAAGAACTATTGTCTCCTGTATCAAATGGTACAGACATGACACTGTTATTGCACAGCAAAGACCTCACAGTTAGTTTTCCCCACCATTCCTTTGTTTTCATGTTTCATCAAGAAACAGGGAGAAAAAGGTAACGCAATCTTCATGTACAAGTATCAGCACAGTCAAAAGAAGAGTTCAGTATGATCAAACGCACGGATTACAATGCTAAAATGGATCACTGAACGCAGGCAACAGGATTTTTTCCCCAATCTATTTCTGTTTCTCTCTGAAAAAACATTCACCCTCAGTTGGTTCCTGAACTGATGGAACTCCTGGAGTAACCCATTCTATGGAATATTTTCCAACCATTTAAATAATGCTGAGGGCTTTGAAATCTCTAATTTCAATCGTTAGTTTTCTGGCACTGTGAAAACCATACCTGGATATCAGCCCACAAACTAGAGTCACATCCGTCTCATACACACTTCTTGGAAGATTCTTCTATTTCTGCAGCCAGAGATATCTTAATCAAGTCACTCACAAAATTGTCCTGTCAGCTGTTTCCTCTAGAGAGGAAACTCCTGCTTAAATATCTCTTTTAATCTCAGCTGCAGACTACAAGAAAGCAACACAATCAAATCCTCAGGCAGAATGCTGCAAAATTACTGTGAAAGTCCCATCCTATGCCATCAAGTGTACAGCCATCATATAAAAGCATGTAATTAACTGTCTTCAAATTCTGTTATAGCCCCAGGTTGAGCAACACTTTTACTCTGCAAAACTGACCAAGTTCAGACCTCCTGTTTTTAATACATACATGCTCACCGAATCCCCAGTTTAGCCCTTCCAAGATAATGCAGGCTAGTTTGTTCTCCACTGTTGTTAGACTGTAATTTAGTAACCAGTCACGAATCAGTGCTATCTCAGACGAAGAAGGCTTCCACAGGTACAACGGCAGTTCTTTAAACAGATATAAAGAAACCTTTGAGGGCAAAAGAGAAAAAAGGTTAATCAGTAGTCAGTATGGAACAATAATCAGCATTATGCCCTTCTATCTTAAAGAGTGATACGATCAAAAAAACCATGGACAGGTCTTTAACAGAATCCACTCATACCAAGCCATATCTTGTAACACAGTCTGGTATGGCCTCTAGTTTTAACTGCTTTAAGTGATGGATGTTGGCACTTACCATCCCAACTTTCTCAATGGTCTCTTTAACTCGATCCAGCAGCACTGAAATAATCTGTGTGTGAATGCTGGCAATTGCTCCCAAGAGTTCTCGACCAACTTTTGAAAATGTCTCTCTTGTGGAAAGACTAACATAAGACAGCTGAGAAGATGAGCAGAGAGAAGTTACTGTTTATGGCTGACCTTCACTGACTGCAATAAAACGTCTTCTGAAAAATACAGAACTAAATTGCTCTTGGTGATCCTGGACAAAGTTGATAAATACCAATACTAAAACTGAAACTGATTGTCCTAGAAAATAAGGAAATTATAACGTCACAAAGTGCAAAACTAAACATAGGAACACCACCACCACAGACACACACTAAAAACAAAACAAACAAACAAAACCCACAAAAAAATTGCTACACACCACAACAGGAAAAAACACCACACAAGGAATTTCAGAGCTACAAGTTAGATCCGTGTGATAAAAATTAAGCAAAACAAAGATATTTTTGTTCATTTGTTTCATTCTGGCTTGGTTTACAGAAAGGCTGTTCTTCTCCCAGAAGAACATGCACTTCAGGATATTTCAATTCAGTACTAGATTATAAACCTCAGAAGTAGTGCTTTCTTAGTTCCATGGTAGAACAAACTATAGCAGCCCTGAAAGTTTCACACCTTCCACTGTTAGGAAAAGAGCATTCATTCTTTTCCTGAATGGACCAGTAATATTACTCACCTCGTATATCTCCAGAACAATGATTTTGATAAAATCCTCATCAACATCAGCCCGTTTGGTTTGTGCCATCTGAGCAAATGTGGTGAGCAGACAAATTTCTTCTGAGCAGTTCATTGATTTGAGATACTTTTCAAAATTTTCAAGGTGCTCTGGATCTAGAAGAGAGTCACATGCAAGCAACATGATAAAAGAACTGTTACAGGACATACATCATCAATATTTATACATTTATTGACAATCCAATCCCAGAGAAGGAATCGGTGAGAACAGAATTATCATCACTGGGTTAGTATTCTCTCTTCAGAAGTGGCTGGTATTGGCTGCTTTAAAATAAGGTGCAAGAAACACCATAATATGCAGTGAGTCCATATGATTCAGTAAATATGCTAGTAATTCATAATTCATAATGAAAACTAAAAATGCTTCAAGAACAGCTGGAATTCAATTTTTAATATTATTTTAACTATGTAATGTTAACCATCCACAGGAAGAATTGCTTGAATCTTTTTGCTTTTTAAAAATGTTATCATGGTTTGAGCTGCCATTATATATTGGAGCAATTAATTCCACAGATTAAGTCCAAATTATATGAAAGAATTCCAATTTTAATCAGCACACAGTCAAGAGAAGATTAAAACTAAGCCCATCAAGCACAGCAGAGAGGTTTCGATCAAGTTGAGAGATTGCTCATTCCGCATACCATGATCTCAAGCAGCAATTAAAGTGGGGAGATCATTCTATGCCGACTACAAATAAAAATACTTCAAGCATCCAGCCCTGGGCCTAGATTATGTCCAAGAGTTAATAGGAAAGGTTGGTTTCAGTTTCTCGAACTCAATACAAGAAAATTACTGAATGTACTTGTTTGGAAAAAATGTCTGAAAACAGAGAACTGAAGTTGCACAGGACAGGAAGGATAAGAGATGCTTTCACTTGAATTCAAGGCAGGTTTCCTCTTTAAACCCAATAGTGAGATGTTGCCAAATGCAAATAAACATTTCATTCCTCGGGGTGGGGGACAACAGGAAGGGAAGGGTACAACAAAAACCTGAACAGGAGTTTAAAATTATTTTTATTTCTTCCAAATAACTTTAAATAAACTCTGTGCAGCAAAACAAGCACTGAAAGCTGCATTTGAGCTGTAAAATTGTTTGGAGAGTGGTGTGCTTCCTCTGAAGCATAACATGCCAGAAAACAGTTTACAGTGATCTTACCGTACCAGTTGAATATACTGAAAAAGCACTCATTGTGGCACTCAACTACTTAATCTGCACAGGCACGTGCTCAGCAGGCTTGTGATTAAACACTTCCACTTATGTTACATTCTATTTTAAGGGCTTTCAAGAATTTTGCAACTGTACTTCAACCTGAGAAGGTCAGACTTGTACAGCCAAAACATCTCATGAACAGTGTGCTAGAGAATTGGGTAATTTAAGTAAAGAGCTTTCCATCTACCAAGACAAACTACACTCCTGATAGATACAATAGACATGTCTCATCCATTTATCTCCCTTTCCTAATGCTACCTTTTATCCTTATAGCAGAAGTTACAGAGCACTGTGTTTATTGTTGTTGTTTTGGGATTTTTTTAAGCTAACACAGAAGGACAAAAATAAATAAAAAAAAGACTATGCCATTGCTATATATAAAGAATTATATATATTATATAAAGAAAAAGCAGAATTACTCACAGCATGGAGAAGGGGTTTATATCTGGTAGCTTTCATAGTCCAGAGGTTATCCTAGTAAGTGCAGCTCCATCACTGCACTCCATTTTATCATTCTCTTTCTACCTATCCCTTAAAAGCAACTATGGTCCCACCTCCATATATGCAAGCCTAAAGCTTCCATCAATTACCAAGGCTTGCTACCCCTTGTAGATTCACCACTCTTAACATTTCTCAAACTTAATCTGGGAAGGGAAATCAATAAAAATGGTTCTCTCCCAGGAGAATGTTAATGCCATGGTCTTTTAGGGTATGAATTACAGGAAATTAAGTCTGCATTATATTGGTAAGTGTCAGTCAAAAGAAGCTACTTCAGAAGATTAGATGGATTTCACTGAAAGAACCATTGATATTCCCTGTCTAGACATTTGTGAAAAATAGTATTGTGCTGACATAACCCATCGAGGAGAATGAAGAGGATAAAAATATCCTGCGTCAGCATACCAGGGACTTCAAAACATAGAAGTTAGCTAGAAGCAAAACAAAGGCTGAACAAAAAAAAAAAAAAAAACCAACCACACACCACCACACAAAAAATCCCCACACACCAGAACACCAGTGTTTGTTGCTGTCAGAGCTGCAACCCACTACATCATATTACATTCTCTTTGTTTGAGATGCAGTAAAAATTTCTTGCAAAAACAAAAATAAAGAAGTCCTACTGAAACAGTGTAACCGTTACTGTTTTGGCTGGCAAGTGCTAATCAGATCAGCACTTCATGAAGTGTACACAGCTACAGCCTTGATATCCCTCTTCCACTCCACATTGCCTTAAATGTTAGCTGAGCTTGCACACAGTTAAGATACTCAGTAACCTCTTAAGATCGACATTTTCTTCTGCTTCTCCATCAAAAGACTTGGTTGATGTGGTAACTGCTGTCTGGGCTACCAGCTAGCTGGAAAGTAAAACTGACAGTGTTATTTGCTCTCCCTGAAGACAGCAAATAGGCTGTGAAGTAGGGAGTTACTGCTTTGTTTACCTGTCTCCCTGTCAATCAAGTCCTGAAATATTTTCCATGAAGGCAGCAACAAAGGGGAAGTAGCATTCCAGCTGGCTTCTAAATAACTCCACTACAGCTGAAGCCACCACAATCACTGCGGAGATGAACACAGGACAGGAGTCAAGGGGAAATAGAAAGAAAAGGTGTCATACAGGACAAGAAAAGCATCAAAAGAAGGCTTGAGATAATGGAAACATCTGTAGTTGTGGAAGATAAGCAGATCTCCTACAATGTAAGTTACTGAAGCCAAAACTAGCAAGATGCGGGAGCGGGGCGGGGGAGAAGAGGACTGGGGTATTTATAGAACTATCAACAGTCAACAGCTCACACAAAAAAAAAAAAAAAAAAAAAAAAACCCCACCGAACCCTAAGTGATACAAAATTCTGTATTTGAGGATTTAAATCTTACTTTCTAAATACTATAGAAGGCCAAGATGGGACCTGATATGAGGATACACAAGATGTACCTACTGCATGGTGCTCTTGCAGCTCTCTGAAGCAGCCAGTAGCAGCCACTATCGGAAAGAAAACTAAAAGGACAGTAGATCTGACAATGCCTGTTAAAATGAGATTTTGGTCAAACAAGTACTGGAAGACCATGAATTGCCCAAGACACTTATAAGGCCTCTGGACGAGTCATGGTGCTGAGGGTGTATTTAACAATGCAGCATGTGAAGAACTAAACCCATAGCTGATGCAGCAGTAGCTGGATCGATTAGAATTGGTTCCGAGTGTAGAAATTCTACCTTTAAGTCTTTGTTTGCAGTCAGCAGGTTGCAGAGTAGAGCAGAGCTTTTCCAGGTGCTCGCTCTCCGCACAGTGCATGACAAAGAAGAGCCTCCAAAGCATATTACTGGATAAGGTTCCATAAGGCATCTCGGACATGAACAACCAGACTCCCAACCTGTTGGATTTGAAGAGGCAGACAGTTTCACCCTGATAAATCCCAACATTTGAAAAGGGGACATACACCCACACCTCTGCCATGTAACAGAATTAGGAATGTGAGGATGTATCTTAGCATCTCAAATTCTGAGTTAACCTCATTCTGAATTGAACAAGTCCTCAGAACTTCTGTCAGAGGCTAGAATTCAAGACATAATTCCTCCCCATCCTGATGCTACCAATGTGCTGAAAAATCCTGCATATTGCAGTCTTGTTTAAACCATTAAGTATTTAAAGCTATTCCAAATCCCAGTTTCAAATATCTGACTCCTCCAAGACAAAGCCAGTATCAACCACATGGGACCGCCTACCTTTTTGCCTTCAGAACATGTAGAACAGCTCTGAAAAACAATTCATCAAACTCCAATTGCAATTTTTCCACAGAGTAGGGATGCGTTACTGATCCATACTGTCTATTGCCGCTAACGTATTGGGCCCAGTGGTCACTCACATGACAAAGTGTCATCCTACACAGCAGAACAAACAAGTCAAAGAAGGATCATTAAGTACATCATCACCATATAAAAACACAGACAAGTGCAACTAGATCAGAGTCTAGTCACAAGAGACATGTTCAATCCTTTGTCCTCTGGTTTCCAGAGATTTCCACATAAATAGCATTTCCCTCCCCTCTTCAGACAGGGTTAGTCTAAAATTCCTGTGTTATCCTTCCTTGGTTTTGCAAGCAAACAATGCATAATATTCTGTTATACCCAATTAGTTTGTGTATGAACTTTGGAGCCTTAAGGTAATCCTGAATGATTATGATGATGAAATGAAGAAATGGCAGTACATGCAAAAAAATCATACAGGAATAATTATACCAAGAAAGTTACTGCTCTAATAACACAAAGGAAAATGTGGATTTTGTTTCTGACTTAACTGTATCCACCCCTTGAAAACACACTCATAGAAGCCATATAAAGTGACTGCTATGGATTTAAAAATAAAGAGCAACTTTTAGGTTTCAATTACATTTGCTTACTGCAACAATGACAATTTTCAAGGAGCAAATTAAAAACCCTAAAACAATTCTGGATAACAATGGAAAGAAAGCAGTAACAATGGTTATAAATAGGGGCGATTTGAGAAACTGTTTGTCGGATTTCAGTGACTTTCCAAGACAAGCCTGAGCACATCCCTGATGAACACCAGGCTGGATTCCCACAGCTCACCCGGCTCCTTTGTACCCACAGCATTTAGATTTTGCAATACCCACTTCACAGGCAGCTTTAGAGTTAAGGACCTTGGAATTTCAGATTCCCAGATTGGCTAACCCTAAACTGACCAACTCTCAGAGCAAAATCTACCCAAGAACCGTTTGGGTTTTTTGGTTTGGTTTGGTTGTTTTGGTTGTCGGGGTTTGGGTTTTGGTGGTTGTTTTTTGGTGTTTTCATTTTTTTGCAGCTCTGAACTTTAAACCAGACTGTATGAAAAAAGATTTAATCATATCACAGAGAAAATATTCTCTTACTTGATCAGCTGACCAATTCGCTTCACAAACTGTCGGTACCGTGCTCTGTTAAATGTTTCTAACCCCGCAGACAGAAGTTCCACTAACGAGTTTGCAAAAGCAAAAATCTTCATCATCTCCTGGGGAGTTGTTTTTTCAGGAAAATAAGCACCTAAGACCAAGACAGAAAAATACATCTCAAAAAAAATGTGTGAACTCTGGATTTTTTAAGTAACTTTATAAGCACTCAAAACAACAATTCATCATATAACTGGCAAACAGTTCATTGTTTGCCAGCTATATAGTGAACTGAAATTTATGTTTTGTTTATGAAATGTACAATAAATACCTGTTAAGTATGAAAGTACAAATAAACTATGCAAGCTATAAGACCTCTAGGAAGCAATTACCTTCATGTACTTGTCCAGAGATTTAGCAAAATAAAGAATGAATAAATAATTGGAGAAAAATCACAGTAATGTTACAGCTAAGAGGCAAAGGGGAAAACTTAGTCCTGAAAGCACATCTGTGAGTGTAACTACTAAGCAGATCAAAACTAAGGGAAAGGACTAACATTTTGCATGCTTGTATTGCTCTAAGTTTTTAAGGTATCCCATACGCATGGCATACACTTCCATCTCATCTATTTAGTCTGTGAGCTGTTGCGCAAGTTCATTATTACTTCACTGAGAGACTCTAATGCAGTAGCATTCTTGGCAGTTTTAGTCATTAATATAATTAGCGTAAGCAAAATGAAGAACAATTCTTCAGCAGCAGATTTATTTACCTCCAGACTTAAATCCAAGGAACTGCTGAAAGAGTTCATGAAACGGAAACTGTGACAACAGGGCAATCAAGTCATCTTCCAAGAGCAGAATCCAGCTTGTTTCAGGATCCTCATCCTATAGACAAATACAGTCGCTTTTAGTAGCTTTACAATAAAACACACGGTAAAAGGGCCTCACTACTGTACTAATTACAGTTTGCTTTTAAGAGGAGACCAAAGAAATTGCAAATGAACTCTCCTTCACACGCACACACAAGCTCCTAAATTCCTCTTCTGTGTGTGTTTCTACATAAAAGCCCTCATCAGCTAGGAAACAGAACTAGAGGCAATGATATGTTAGTCCAACCCACCTTCTGAAGGTAAGCACCTATTCAAACGTATGCCTGCTTCCATGCTCCTTCTGCATGCAATAGCTCAAACATTTATATGCTATCTGTTAATACTCATTCCTGGAAGCTCCACTATCTACAGTTATATCACAGAGCTAAAAGGAGAGTAAAATAGATCAAAGTTTCAAATGATGCTTTTTAACTGGATAAGTCAGCTTTTCTTCCTCCATTTCACAAAAAAAACCAAAAAAACAATGAAATAAGCTTGAGCAAAAGCATAAAGGGAAAAAAAGAAAAAAAAAAGAAGTCATTTGCTGTACCTCTTCACCTCCTTCATCTACCAGGGTCCAGTTTCCAGATTCTTTCCCAGATGAAGAGGAACTTTTCCTTTCACTTGGTTTCATATGGCACATGAAGTCCACCCGATTTCTGATTTAAAGTGCAAAAACAAGTATACAAAAAATTAGAAAATTAAAAATTCTGAATTAAGTCATCTTTTAGTAAAGAGAAAATATTAAGAGAACAGATACAAGAACAAGAAATGAACAAGTATGTCAGAAAGCTGCCTGGCAGAAAAGGACCTGGGGGTGTTGGTCGACAGGCAGCTGAGTATGAGCCAGCAGTGTGCCCAGGTGGCCAAGAAGGCCAACGGCATCCTGGCTTGTATCAGAAATGGTGTGGCCAGCAGGACTAGGGAAGGGATTGTTCCCCTGCACTCAGCACTGGTGAGGCTGCACCTCGAGTCCTGTGTTCAGTTTTGGGCCCCTCACTACAGGAAAGACATGGAGGTGCTGGAGCGTGTCCAGAGAAGGGCAACGAAGCTGGTGAAGGGTCTGGAGCACAAGTCTCATGAGGAGCAGCTGAGGGAACTGGGGTTGTTTAGTCTGGAGAAAAGGAGGCTGAGGGGAGACCTCATTGCCCTCTACAGCTACCTGAAAGGAGGTTGTAGTGAGGTGGGTACTGGTCTCTTCTATCAAGTAACTAGTGATAGGACAAGAGGAAATGGCCTCTAGTTGTGCTAGGGGAGGTTTAGATTGGATATTAGGAAAAATATCTTCACTGAAAGGGTTGTCAGGCATTGGACCAGGCTGCCCAGGGAAGTGGTGGAGTCACCATCCCTGGAGGTATTTAAAAGACGTGTAGATGTGGTGCTTAGGGACATGGCTTAGTGGTCGGCTTGGCAGTGCTAGGTTAACGGTTGGACTCGATGATCTTAAAGGTCTTTTCCAATCTAAATGACCCTATGATTCTAAATGATGCTACGATAACCTGATATCCTCCAAGACTCACACCAATCTGCTGTATTCTGTAAATAATCTTCCAAGCAATTTTCTGAACAATGTAAATGGCTATCAGCCCTGTATAGCAAGCATATTTAAATATGCAAGAAATAACACTATTCTTGCCCATGTGTAAGAAAAATCCTTTTAAAAAAAAAAAAAGGATATCGTATTTCAGAAGAGGTACTCTACAACAACCATTTAAGGCTATCATCTGGTGAGTCAACAACAAACAGGACAAGCACAAGCCAGCTCCACTATACAACTTTCGTAGCTGCACTAGCTGGACACCACATCAATGTTAGTAAGACTGGTCTTACTACCACAACTAAAGACCTTCCAGGAAAGAGTTGCCTCAAATCAACCCAGCTCCCATTCCATGTAGTAGACCACCTCAAGTCTGGGATACTAGTTTTCGGGCTCTATATACTGTACAAATCCTTAGTTGTTCAGACGTACCAGCAAGTTAAACAAATGTGCAGAAAGGTTATACAAAAAGTTAAAATCATAACATCCAACTTCCTTCTAACTTGAACTGTACTGCCAGAACTCTGCACACAGTGCCACAAAACTCTGGAATAATTATCACCCTTCTGAACACCTTCAACTTATACTCTGATAATACCAGTCTATTACAAATTAAATACAAGTTTTAAGACACTGATTTCACAAACCAAATTCAGAATTCAAATTTGTTCCTGACACGGAGCAACTGTAACAGACAAGTCTCAGCTCTTTTACCAGTAAGTACACCCATTGTGGAGGCTCTGCATTCTTGTATCAACAGTTGAGAGCATCACTCCAGACACCTTAAGGTAGACCTTGTTCAAAACACAAGCATCAAAATGCGTTGGCAGTATGCACGCCCTGAGGATACACTTGTCTCCCCAGGCAGCTCTAGACTGGAAATGTGAAAACAAAGCCCTTAAAAATAATAGCCTCCAATAAACAGGACTCCCACTTAACTCAGGGTCAGAATATCAACGCCACAATGACAACCCTAAATACCAGCAGTTTGATTCTTTGACATTAAAATTTGGGCAGCTGGGAGGCAAGTTATATATTTTATCTGAAGCACATAACAGTTTTCACTAATGACTGACTTCATCAACTAGCTTCTCCAAGCACCAGGTATTCCTTCTAGATTAAAAAAAGGATGAAAAATCAGTTAAGAAGCCCAACCAGCATACACACCAACTTAGCAAACCCTTTACTCAAGGGCTTCTGTTGAGGAGACAGTATAATGAACAGGCCATCATGCAAGGCAAGAACTCTATATTTCAGAAGTCACAGTAACAAAACATGTCAGTCTTCACAAGCTACTTGACAGCTGAAAGCAAGCTGCATCATACTGTGCACAGTCGGAGAATGTACTGCCAAGGCTGTATTTTAAGATGAATGAGTAAAAACAGTTTGAATTAAACTGTGAATGTCTTTCTTGTGCCTGCTTTTATAACTTTGCCTGCAACGAACTCCGAGTTTCACAAGCAGATCATGTGTCATGTTTCCTACTCTTAAATAATCAGAACATATTTATAAAATCATATTGATACTTACTTGACAGGAGACATAAGCAAGGCAAGAGATTGCATGAAATGAAAGACACCTGATGGGTTATCCAAGACTTTGATCTGAAATTAAATGCAAAAATCTAAGTAAATCCAAACAAGTAAAACAAAGGGCAAATTAGTTTTAGTAAAGAAATTTAAATTCTGAGCTTTACGTTTTTCACAAGCTTTTTGTTGATACTAAAAGGTATCCATAAAAGACAGTACCCACACCCTGGAGAAAGTATTACTATGGCAAAAGACTGGGAGTTGTCCAAAAGAATTACTTATAAAGGAGAAAAAAAAAACCAAAACACATCAAAAGCTCCACAAAAAAGGCAACTTCTCTGTTTCACACATACTTCTGGACACCAGCAGGAATTGGGATGTTAAGCACTGGGGAAGTTAGGATCCTACCATGTTAGGTTAACGGTTCGACTCAATCTTAAGGGTCTTTTTCAGCCTAAATGATTCTATTATTCTATTCTATCCTTTCATTTCCTTGCTTGCCTTTCCCTTGTTAGTGTAATTGCAATCTTTTTCCTATGGCTAGATTTCCAACATCTTCCCCTCTTGAGGGGCAAAAATGTTCTTTGCAAGAATGCCCTGGTGGCTTTGGATATTTGCGCTCCCTCTGATCTGTACAAAGTGAACTCTTTCCCTTGCCCTTGAAATTACCTAACTAATAAACTTTACAGTGAAACCAGTCCCATTTCAATGTGCAGGATATAAAAATCTGTTCTTCCTCATCCCTTATACATCACAGAGCTGCCTCCAATCTCACTCGTCTCATACACAGCTGCTGCTTCAAGTCTAAATATTCTTTCCATTTCTTGGACAGCACTCCAAACCTTCTGTTGCATGAGGCCTTCCGAGATGCACCGCAAGTCCCCGACTCCCTTTCATGGAGTGTCTCCAGACAAGAATGAGAAGTGTGTTTCCCTGTAAACCTGCTCACAGTTGGGCTAACATGGGTAAATACATCCCCTCACAAACCCTTCACTGTTACCATGATTCCACACACCTGGAAAGGCGGTGTCAGTCATGAGCGATTGACTAGGCACAAGACACTGTCCTACCCACTCCACTCCAACTTTCTGACAATAAAGAATTAAACATTCACACCTGAATGAATGGACAAGCCCATTCACTGATCCCAGCTGGACATCGAAGGATGTGGTTGAAGAGGAAGAGATGGTCACCTGGACAGCCAATTCTTTGCAACACAGACACCTAAAGGGAAGTATATCGGAATCTTGTAAACAATTTCAAGGTTCATTCCTTTATAGTCTTGCTAACTAGAGTAATACTGGTTTTTTGTTTCTCCTCCCACGCTTTCTAACAAACCTCAATTTTCAGAGCAAGTTACAGGAGAAAAATATTTAAAAGTCTGTTTGCTTGGCTTATGAGCCACAAACCATTTTCTCTGGTGTACAAACATGAATTACTTTACAATCGCATTAAAACCAAATTTATTTAGAAATCAGCAAGAATAGAAGTTTCTCAAAAATGACAAGTCTGAATAGTTTTAATTTCAAAATAAGTAAAAGCATAATGAATATTGAATATTAAGTCTACTCTGAGCAGTGTTGGCTGCTCATGGGCCAGTCCTCATTAATGCTGCTGACCTCCACTGACTTCATCAGCCAAGGGAATTCATTATAAAGATTCACTAACAGATTCTGTTGCTCAAGCAGAACAAACTCCCCAAAAATTGCATGTGGGACAATAAGAGAAACAGTAACACTTTCAGAAACTACCCCCAAATTCATCCATTGTGTTGGATCAAACAGATATATCCATGCTTACTCCCTCACCAGTCTCTGCAGCCACATGAGAAGGTCACTCTGAAATTGAGGATCTTCAATAACTCTGCGAGTGAAACTGAAAAGGACGCTGATACATTCCTTCAAGTGGCCCAAGTCTGAAGAAAGATTTTCTGATTGCTTTGAAACTGTAAATCAAAACCAGAATTAAGGAGTTTTGACAAGCAGCTCTCAGAGTGGTAACATAAGTAGTGGTTCTGAAGCGATACAGAAAACTTGCTCTATCTATCTATACATACCAAGACGTTTCAACACAGTTGCTTGCTAAATCCGACAGAGAAGTAGAGTACTTTATGTAGAGTACTTTATTTCATCTTATAATTTAGCACTGGACATTAATTACAAGAAGAATATACTATGGTTGCTCTCACAAAAGGCCTTCCCTCAACACAAACTTTGTAAGAACCACCATTTACTATGCATATAAACAATCTGGGAGGCGGAGGGCAAAGGGAGGAGGACTAGGAAGGATAAACACCCGGGGTGGGAGGGGAAGGAATACTTCAGCTAAAAGATTATATTGGCACAAACCCAAGTAAGTAATATACCTAGGATGAAAATCAAAAAGATTTCTCAGTATTAGAGCTGCAAGATTTCAAATGGCCTTCCAAGAGGAAGTAAAGCAGGAAAAATATCCAGCTGGTTTTAGAATTATGCATACTCAATTTGGAAAAGGGACTATATTGTATGTTGCCTTTGACAACAAAAGATTGGAGTCCGGGTTTCCCAGCCCACCCAGTGTTCCTCTACAGTAATCAGTGGCAGTATGTAACTTAGAATAAGGTAATCCTGCATTCAGCTTCCACTCTCCAGGTGAATAAGGCAAGAGAATTGGAGTTTCTCCCGGGAGATCAGCAGGTTTTAATATCAGAGGAGAAACACACCAGTATACAAATTCCACCACAAGACTCCAAAACTGCAGGTGAACAAGGCATTTGGCACCCTGAACAGCACGGGGAGCAGTCCAGACCAGCAACACACCTTGTTCTTGCTGCTGAAGAGCCACTGATCTCAGCAGGGACGAGCTGCTGAGCAACCTGTAGACATACGACTCCACTTGCAAGCGGGACAACACTGAAGTGTACGAGTGCAGCGCCAGTGTCTGATGCACATGCTCTGCTTTGGCTTCAAACAGCTTTTTCAGTTCCCCCAGCACACTTTCATTCAGCTCCACTGTCTGGTAGCGATGGTGACCTGTCACTTTGCACTGATCTGCACAGACACCCTGAAAAGAAAGCAATTATTTTATTGAAGTGGCTTTGTCATTTTGTTGGGTCAAGTGTGCTTACAGAAATTAACCTTGACATAACCCTCCCCTCAACAGATTTCAGAGCCTTCATAAAAGGGGCCACTTAACAGGTGGAAAAGACAAACATGTCAGAACATCCTACATACGTTTTAGAGCTGGTGATTACTGAAGATTCATATCCCTTACTTCTGAAAAAATTACTCTACAAACCCTCAATAACTCAGATTTAGAAATAGACATGAAGTGACTTGCCTGTATCACTGACAGATGTGAACAAAATCAGGTCTCTCTATTCCCAGTGAGTGCAACTGCTTCTCGGTTTATAGATTTCCATAAATATTTGGGTCTGCTATTTTAAAGCTAAAATATGCACTGAAACAACATAAATATTTTTCTAAGCTCCCAGAACTGAATATTTATACCAATTCCCCATTGTACATTTAAAATTTTCAGAAATGAACTGTACTCTAACTTTTTTCCTCAAACTGGAATTAAAAGCTGAGGCCAGTCTTCCTCTGTCCTATCTCTAATCCTTCAGCACAAGAAAACCACAATACGCAACATTCCTGTTATTCTTCTATGCAACCAGGAAACATGCTTCAGAGCCAGCACTTTGGAAGCTTAGCTTGAAGTTATCCCTGTGTTTCCTAAGTTAGTAGAAGAAGAATTTTAAATTGGCATAAAACAATTATTCTGACACAATAAATACATAATGAATCAGGATAGAACAAAGCAAGCAGCAAGCTTAGCCAACTGTATGATGCCCAGTGGGGGTGTAAGAGTGAAGCCAAAATTGCTTTCAGCATAGAAAGCGATCAACACAAAAGAGTCCAGTGAGGTTCAGCGTTATACCCTAATAAAAAGGAAAAGATTCAAATCTGTTCAGTGAATGTCTCTCAACATCTCAGCTCTGAGGAACTGCACAGGAGAGGCACTGCACTCACAGAGACAACAGTGAAGCCACCACATACATAAGTACTTAGCACCCTTGGGCAACTTTGATGGTGTGTTGGCTATGAACAGCATCAGAGCGCCAGAACAATTTTATTCACTTCCACTGTAATGTTCAGCTCCAAAAACAAGTTACACAGAATGAGTGTGGGGAAAGATTTTTCTGATGTGTGCACCAGAGAGCTCTCCAGACCCTTCTGGTTTGCAGACAGAAATGCTACAGAATACCACGACCACCCTGGAAGTAGCTAAAACCACAGCTACATTTATGGAGCAACTGTTACTGAAAGTGGATGGACCTCACACGCCCTTTGCTTTGAGCAACAGGGTCACCCACAAGCATGACTCAAGCTCCTCTGCAGCTGCCACCTCTGAAAGCAGGACAGTCAGGAATGACGTCAATGAAAACTGTCACTACAGGCAGCAGGCCAGATGGGACATCACGGCTACAGTCATTCTGACGTCCTACTCCACCACGTATCCCCTGCATCTACCCGAAGCATTGTGCCACAAACTTCACCTAACACTACAGGCAGAACTGGCTGTACACAGCTCATTCTGACTGACTACACACAAGTCTGACTCCCAAGAGATCACTAACAGAGATCCTAGTACCCTACATTCATCAGAGTTTAAAAATCAAACAACAAACTGTCTTAAGTCTCAACAGAACGATACTCTGAAGTACTGGGGGTTAGTGGAGAGACAGGAAGCAAAGGCAATCATCTCTTTTTAAAACAACAGAGCTTAAATACAATAAACTTGACAGCAAGTAAAATTAAGGTCTGGAATCACATCCAGATAGTTTGGGTTCAAAAGTAGCTTCAGCAACAGCACCTGCACAGTTTTCTGTTCTTCTTTAAAAGTCCATAATCTCCCCTTAACATTTTGGCAGTCTGTCATCATAGCCTGCAGCTCTGCCTCGGCCAGCAAAAGCTGCTTCCTGCAGCGCATGTAGTTCAGGAGCAGTTCATAAAATTCGTGCCTGTCCTGATGAGCAACGCTTTCGAATTCCTCTGCGTAGGAGTCAACATTTTCCAACCATGAACACGGCTCAAAAATTTTCAGCTGTTCTCTGGTAAATGGCACCAGTTCTGGTTCAGTTGGGAGCTCTGGATACAACCTTTCACTGTGCGACAGCGGTTTAACTGCTATTATGGTTGGTCTCTCATATGACAATTCAGCTGACAAGTTTGGATAAACTGGTTTCAATCCCGATCGCTGAACACGTGTTTTGGATTTCTCAGATTGCTGCAAGATACTAGGAGGAGGCTTCTCTGACAAACAGACAAGAGGATTTTTATCACCTTGTACGTTTTCAGTTACTTTGTCCTGTACAAAGCCCACTACTGTCCGAGAGCCAGCAGCACTAGAATGAAATGTACTACTCGATAAATCAGAGTTTCCTGATCCGCTAGCAACCACCTCCACAGGGCTGTGAGGTTTGTCCAACTTGCTTTTTCCACTCTTCTCAACACCGCCCCTGCATTCCTCATGGGAATGATCAGCTTTGAACTCTTCTGCATTTGTGGGAGGCTCCAGAGTCACTGTCGAAGATCCTTCATTTGCTGAAGACAAAGTACTCTGGGAGATGTCGCACACATCTTTTATAGTTTTTCCATCCTCTACTTCATCACTGAGACAAATTTCTGTAAATTCTCCAGGACGTTCCACTTGCACTTTACTGGCTTGAGAAGACACTTCTGCCACAGGAGGGAGGAAGACATCATCAGACTCTTGTATGTGGGTTTCCTCACTACTTTTTTTCTTTTTTTCCTAGGGAAAAATAAAAAATTAACAGTGTCATTACCAAGTGAATCTACCCCCCTTGCATCCCCAAACCCCACCATCACCAAAACTAGAATTTGTCAACATCACAACTCCAAAAGCCCCTCTTAACACATTAATTTTCATAACATTAGATGTAAAAACAAATGTACCGAACAGATCCTTGTTCTTTAGCTGCCCTTTGAAGAGTGCCTATCAGTGTCTATTTTCTTGGTCATCTCTTGAACAATGCTTCAACATTTCTATGTAAAAAGCTATAAATATCACAGGACAGAATGTTTCATTAACATATAAAATAACCAAAATAACAGGACCCTGACCTCTAAAAACAGCCACTAGATTTCAACATATTGCAAAAAAAAGTTACTCTGCAATTCATCTTAAGTTTTACAGCAATATTTTAATGAATGGAAAATTATCTTTACAAAAGTAATTTCAGAACAAAGAAAGTCTGGAATGCACCCCCTAATTACATTATAAAACTATCACAACATCTGTACATTTACTGAAATACCTATTTTCAATAGGTATTACACACTAGAGGTGTAGAAGAACTTAGCAGTGACATTGAAATTGTAAACTGATTATCCACTTTTAAATTAAGATCAGTTTGGGGGTAAACAGTTCCCATAAACCTAGTTTAAGGTATAGATTAGCCTCCTTCCCAAAGCACTGCATGGGAAATAACGTTGCACAGGAAATCAACAAGATTTTGTCAATTTGTAAATCATTTGCCAATTTGTAAAACAAGAAATTGGCAAAGTGTTTTGCCAATTTGTAAATTGTTTGTGTGTACCTACCAGTTTATTAGGAGCGAAACTGACAAGAGTTAGGTTACAATGCTCCAGTTTTGGATGACCCAGATAATATAAAAAAGAACACAGATGAAATTAGGAAAAGCTCTCAATATTCCTGCGTGACTGGGGAAAAGATGATAGTTTCAGAAATTTGCTGACAGTATCACATATACTTTCACTAAACTTCTGACATGACTTTGCCTTATGACAAGGCATACAAGAAAACAGCTCAAATCAAGGCCCTAACTACCTTCTACCTGAAGCCTAATTTTACTTCAAACATATGCTCACAGCTCCCTTACAACACAGCAATACACTGGCTTTGCTTACAGATTGTGTTTTCCAGTATATTAAATCCTGTAAACACTTCTGATCACGAAACAGTTCTGACACACTCCAAGACTAGCTAAAGCTACAGGTGAGAGGTTAAAAACAGATCAGCACAATTCTTTAAACTAGGACTTGATGTTATAATAAACATCTCCAGACAATTAACTCAAAGTCAGTCCTTTCCACAGGACACTATATCACTAGATCATATTTTTGACAGTGTACTAATCCACATACTTTACAAACACATACTGGTCCTTTCGTCTCTAGAATCTCAAAGTTCCCTCTTGCAGTCCTCATACAGAAGAAACTCCCTTTATCTCTCAGTAGCATTCTGTATTCCTCACAAATGCTACTGTTAGATAAAATAGTTGTTTTTAAAATTTATAAAGTGCCTTTCAGTTCTCACTTTCCAAGGCAAAAAACGCCATAATCGTTAACAGGGATTTCATCTGAGAAAGGATGAGAGAAATCAGGTTCTGAATTAACATGAAAGCAAAATCTGCTCTTCTCTCTTCTGAGGTTTAGCCTTTAAATCAAAGATGACACCTGCTCCTTAGCCTTGCCCCATGCCTAACCATTCTCCCCTCCTAGCATATCAGTGAATGACACCTCAAGCTCTAAGGACACCTACCATTTCTCAGCAAACATCTCTGGAGTAACTAAGTGCTACCCACCGAGATGGACACACATACAGGTTCACCTTCACCAGTTCCAGGTTCACTGGTTTTGCCACCAAACTGTGTTTGAATCGGTCTGGTGTTACTGGTGCTGGACAAGCTTAACTTTGGGGCTACTATTTTCAGAAAGCCCTGGGCTCCATTCCACTACTTGGCAGCCCCACAGCTGAGCCAGCCTTTGTCTCAGCTCACAAGAATTTCAGCTTTTCAAAGGATTATGGCTGTTTCTGAGACATGGGGAACTTAATGTGACTGAGGCCCAAACTGCATCCTCAAATACCCTTGCCTATTAACAGAGCTGAGCATAGTAATAGCAACAAAAATATCAGGAATGGGTCATGTGTAACACTGAAGAATTCTGGATTCTCACACGTGACACTGCCAGTAAATTATTTCACAGTGAATTACACCTGGAAGGGATGGCCAAACGCAGCAGCTGCAGGAGTCACCATATACATCCTTAATGAACTACCAGCGTCATCTGTGACTCACTGCCTTTCTGCAGGGAACTGATTCTCTTCAGCAGCAGTCTTAAGATTTGACTGCCTTGCACATGCTATGGGGCTGAATCAAAACAAAAACAATTACACACTTACTCTTCTGGGATTGCTTTTCCCTCCAAACTTTACTTGCCTGGAGTTCAGGAATCACAGCCACTGACACTTAGATCTAACCCTTATTTTACAAAACAATGGTCAATTAATGCATTAATTTTGTTTTCACAAGGCTTTGACAGCCATAACTTCAATACCTTTGCTCTATATGGTGCAGTTTACAACATAAAAGAGGTTAAGCAATTAAGGGAAAGGTTTCTATTTAGACTCAACTCTGAGGCAAGATATTTTGGTTCGGATCATTTCCACAAACTACTGAAATTCCGCGTAGCACAGCTACAAGGGAAATAAAGCCTTCAGAAAGCTGTCAGTACTAACATCATGAAGGAGGAACATACTCACAACAGGATTAAAACCTAGGAAGAGCGACGCTTAACAACTGCAGTACCAACAAAGAACACTGTCGTCTGCTATACATGGCCTCATGTTTTGAGCATTTCAAAGCCAAACCATTCCGTATGAGATGTAGCAAGACCGCCATCCCATATTGTACTAAAACACTGCTAAAGGCCAATAAGCTCTACTGCTCTATAGCTTCAACACAGATGCAGCTCCAGCTGCCTCGCTGCGCACAGCTATTGGAGAAGGCCACGCGCTATAGGAATAAAAAGCTTGTTTACACCCTTTTACAACACAGAAACTATCACACCCTTCACCTGGCTGCCAACTAGGTCTTCTTACGTCGCTTCAAGAAAGCGCAGACGTTCAGAAATCTTTTTAGAAAAGTGTGCCCACCCCGGCCCCCAGCTCTAACAGCTTCCAGCAGAAGAGGACGGCCATAAACACCGCCCAGAGCAGCCACCCTTCCCGCCGCTTTAAAACAAAACCAAACAAGCAAAAAAAAAGAGTAACACAAATAGGAGCCTGATCCCTTGACCAAAGTCCCAGGGCGCCCGGAGCCGCCACAAACGAAAGGCGGCGGTGACAGACCCGCCGCTGGGCCGAGGCCCCCCGGCCCCGGGAGGGGGGAACGACACCCTGGGGATCTCCCCGGCCGCCCCCCGGCCCCGGCCCACCCCTACCTTGGGTCTGCTCTTGGCTCGGGCCTTGCGGGGAACCCTCACGGCCTCCGCCATGGCCCCCGCCCGCTGCGGCGCTGCCCGGGCGACTGGGGGCGGTGGCGGAAGGGGCGGGACTGTAGCTACTCCCTCCCGGCCGCTCGCGGCCAATCAGCAGCGGGGCAGCTACGGGAGGGACGGAGGGACACGCCGAGTCGCGGTGCGTCACCTCCTCCACAGGGGCCTGGGAGGAGGCCGGGCTCTCCCATAAGGATCTATGGGGAGGCCAGGCTCCCCCATAGGGGCCTGGCAGGAGGCCAGGCTCCCCTATAAGGATCTATGGCCAGGCGGCCAGGCTCCCCTATAAGGATCTATGGGGAGGCCAGGCTCCTCCATAGGGGCCTGGCAGGAGGCCAGGCTCTCCCATAAGGATCTATGGGGAGGCCAGACTGCTGCTAGAGGGAATGTGGGGTGAGAAGCCAAGCCCCTACTATTGAGGATGGGGAGTGTATGGTCTCTTCTGCCTGCGCCATGGCAGGACCTGGAGGTGCCACTGGAGCAGGGCAGCCTGTCCTGAGGCACCTCCAGGTGCAGCGGAGCTGCTGGCTCAGCCCGGGGGTCCAGGCAGCACTGTCCCTTCTGATCCCTGCCCTGGAACCCAGGTGGCCCCAGGGAGCCGCGACTGGGGGCAAGTCCAAGCCCCACTGGGAGCAGAAGTGACTTCTCCCAGTCCCCAGACGGACAAGCCCCTGCAGAGCTCAGGCCCACCTTGCAGAAGACATCGTAGCCAAGAACAGGCACCGTCCACTCTGCTGAACTCTGTACTTAGAGCTTGAGAAGCCCACGTGTTAGTAATGTAATCTGTAATTTGTAATACGTGTGAAAAAGGTAAACTACGTGGGTCAAGGCAGGGATGCACTGATCCTGACCAGGAGCCCATTGCACGTTCAGGAGCCAGTGACCCCCTCAGCAGGCACAGGGCTTTGCTGTGCTGCACAAGCCCCTTGGCTGCAGGATGTGCTCAACCAGTTCATGGTAACTGGGGGGCCTGCGGGCAGCTCCCACCTGGTACTGGCCCTTAGTCCATCTGCCTGGCCCTGCCTGTATCTGGAAATACAGCGAGAAGTTTTCACGTGAACTTCTGTTATGAATAGAGTTGTTTTCTTGTGATAATTTGTGTATTAGCTCACAGGACCAAAAAGGGAGAGCTCCATCCGACCCTGCCCTAAGGCAGGGTGCCCAGCATCTGAAGGGACGTAAGATTTACTCGCTATCTGTATGCTTCTTCTTATTCTATCTTATTAAAGCAGTTGTCTTATTAAGGCATTTGTTGTCTCTCTCTCCCAGGGGGGCACCCTGGGGAGGGAAGGCAGGAGCTGCGCAGCTGGTTATCAGGGTCTGTAGGGATGCCAGGCAATTCTAGAGGGGTCTGGGAGGAGGCCAGACCCTTCTACAGACATCTCTGAGGAAGCCCAACCTCACTATAAGGGCCCAGGAGAAGGCTAGGCTCCTCCCCAGGGGCCTGGGAGGAGGGCAAAGTCTTCTGCACCGCTTGGAAGATAACCAGGCAAGGGAAGATGCTGAAGATAAAAACCCATTTCAGTGCTCATGGGCACACAGAGTTGCTTCCCAGTAGCTCCATGTCTGGACACTCTGCTTCCAGGCCAGGGTTTGCTTGGCTTTAGGTCTATTCAAACAGTTGGTGTATTCAGGACCAGCACCTCTGTTTTGGGATTACTTCTGTGCAACTAGTGAATGTGCAAGCCAAGTTTCAGCCTCACCGGGGACTTCAGCATCCAGAAAAGCCTAACACCATTTATTGTGCTCAGTCAGCTGAAAAATCCCAATAAAGAAACCATGCAATGTATTGTAGAGTAGATACTTTTCCAGGGGAAACAGCCCTACACGGTCTGTAGTTCATGGCTAATCACAAGTACTTGTCCTCATGCCAGCCTTCCTCGGGGTGTTCTCTCCCACAGCTGTCTTGGTACTGAGCAAGTACTGAAATAAAGGCTGAGCAAGGTTATGCTGTTATACGCTTCCTTCCAGGAGAGGCAATTCACACCACCCGAACATCCCAGGGTGCTTTGAAGGTGTACCAGCCCCAGCCCCGACAGAAAGTGAATGTGACAACCTTTAAAAAAAGCACATCCAGCACACAAGTCTCAAAACTTATTTTTAAAATACGTATTTAAAGAACTAAGACTACAGCAGGCTCCTTCAGAAGAATATTTGTACATTTGGTCTTTCAGAAATAAAATAGGACAACTGATTCCTTGACATAGGCACTTTGCACAGTTCATTATAATGCAGCAGGGCAGATGTTAATGCTCACTGTGATCTTCTCCGCACAAAGAAATTCAGTAAAAGCCCCGGGAACCGGTGGGCTTAGGCACACACTGAAGTCATACAGATTCAACTTGAAGAACATTACACAACTAGCAACTCCTGTTACTCCAAAGTTAGTCACCTGGGACCAGGTTTAGACAGCGAAACTGTGCCCTGGTCTCCATGTCCTATGTCCCTGTGTCCAGTGTCATAAGGCACTGAGGAGCTGTTAAGCAACACTGCACGCAGGGATTTCAGAGAGACCAACAGCCCTGAGGCATGTGAGCTTCCGAATCAAGGCCATAATCGTATATACACTAACAAGAAGGGCATGAATTTTGAGGAGACTGGTCAGAAAAGGAGTTGCATGGCTCCAGCCCAACATTAGTAACTAAGTTTGTTTATAGTGTTGCATGGTCAGAACAAATCCAAAGTTTTGGGACTCCCAGAAGTTAATCAAATGGGGTTCTCCAGGGCCTACCAGGGACAAGCTATACCATGAACCTAAAAAACTGGAAGCCCCTCATTGGAGAGGTGGTTGGCGGAGCTGACCGACTTCCCTCCTATCCTCGACAACGCTGTAGGGTGCAGCACGTCCCAGCATGTTTGTGGCAGCACAGCCTCTCGCTAGGTAGCTGCGCTGTGGACTGCTGCACCAGGCAAGATCCAAATCAGCTCCCAGTATCGGCGCTTGAGCCTGGAGCACATCTACAGCTAAGCCAGACAGATGGTGTAACCATTGGTGCTCCTCTAAGTAAGCTCCCTGGGAGACAAAATTAAAACCTAAATTACAAGTTTCATTACCATTAATGAAAGACTTTAGAAACAGGCAAAAGTGTAACCTGAGATCTGAGTGGGATACATGTGGCCTGAACACAAGCCAGCATGCCCAAAGCATCGCGCACCGCTCCCCGCGGCACATGGGACTTCTTAGTTATCTGGAGAGTGGCAGGCTCCAGCCTCTCCCAGATGGCTGCACTTTAGAAGAACTTCAAAAATTTCTTCTGACACAGATCACCCCTGTGTCTGGGTCGATTGCTTATATTCCCCCAAGTGTCAAGATGGGATATCCATCCAAGGAGTCTGCTGATCAAAGGCACAGATTTTAATAGGCACTTTCTGAATGTACAAATAATCATCAGAGTCCCCAAATACTTTCTTAAAATGGAGATGCGCTTCAGCTCTGTGTGGCTGGGAATAACTGGAAACAACACCGCTGCCACGCTGGCCAGACCAACAGTGTCTTCTTCCTAGAGAACCTACAGAACAGGATCAACAGCGTCTAAACCACAGCTCCAGCTCAGACAAGCGATGGGAGGGCTGACATGATCATCACTCCCAGTCAGTCACTTCAAAATGTCATCCCTTAACCAGTGGCCTTTCTTTCTCCACTGTCCCTCCTCAGTGTAGCTGCATCTCATACTACATCCTTTCTTCATCAAGTGTGAGTACTTACTGTGGCTATTAGTGATGTATCAAGCTGTAGCCATCAACTGTGGCGTAATCGGGCTCACCTGAAACACAAAGCACAAAAAAATTAGGTCTGCTCATGAGAGTGCTCATTACAAGACTTTACACAAGACAGAAACACCACGCGCTGGCCACCCATGTTAAAGGGACGGGAGGCAAGGGTGAATGAGACTCAAAGAGATGACTTGATTTGCCAAAGAGCCAAAGCAGGACCTCATTTTACCAAGCCCTGCTGCAGTATCCCATCACTGGAGAGGCACTGGGAATGATATAGCTCATGCTGCTGAAGCAGAGAATGGCAAACTGCAAAGACTGGTGGGATCCCACGCTTAGACATCCTTCAGCTTCAAAAATGCCTACAACGCAGGGCTTTAATCAGAACTTCTCCTGGGTGACACCTTGCCTCCAAAGTCAGCGCCCACCTTCCCAGCATCTTTCAGCGGGGACCAGAATTACAGCAGGAGCTTCACCTAAAGCAATCCCTTCAGAGAGCTAAAGCTCATGACCTGACGGGGAAGAGCAAGAGCAGAGAGATCCTCTGTGGGACCAGAAGCCCCATAAAGCAAGTAACTCACCTGGAGCGCTGGCCGGGGTGGGTAGAGGTCCCCTCCTGCACAGAAGAAAACACAGAGCTGAGGATCTGCATGGCCATGGGACTCCCATTGCCCTGGCTCTACGCTCCTAAGATGCCCACCAAGAGCTGGCAGGAGGGCAAGAGGTTTGGCCAGCCTGGGCTTTATGGAGACCCGGTACCAAGGCATGTCATGGTGGGTTCACCACCAATAGCCAGCTTGGCAAACACAGGAATTGAAGCTGATACAGTGGGTGAGAGGAAAAAGTAGCCAAAAAGCGCTAAGTTGGGGAAACATTCACAAGTGAGCCTCAGGGCATGACTTTTTAGATGCCTTTGCCCAGAGTGAGACATCAGGAAGCCATAATTGCACATGACTCCTCTCCCAGTGTAACAGCCAAAGCGGCACACTCATCTTTAGCAATAGTCTTTAATAGCCCTGAATCCTCATCTGCTCGCCGGCAGAAGCATCTTTCACCCTGTCCTCCCTGCCCAGCTTCTGTCCTGGGGGAGTCAATTCAGCTTTGCTGTTCCTCCCTCTACCCACGCACACTTTTAACTGATTCATCTCTCCTCAGATAGACAGACCACATGGAGAATCATGCAAGAAAGCCCTCCTGGTATCAAAGGCTGCTGTAGAAGGGAGTTCAGATAGTTCCCAGAGACAGTAAGACATGAAAATCACTATTCCACAGGCTGCCTTGCTTTTCTGCTGTCTGAGCACCACAGCCCCTCACCTCCAT